GCTTGTCCTTTATTGCCTTCTACTGTACTAAACAATCTACCATGAATACTCCAACAGTAACCAGAAACCAGCGCACAGATCTCTCTTGCTGCACTCAAAATGGAATCCTGCACTTGCTGAGGTGCCGCCCTTGATCGATTGGGGAATCTTGATACTAGCAGAAAAAAAAACAAAACAGGGCGCACTCTCCTCGTGTATTAACGCAATAACCAAAAATGTATTAAAAAGATGCAAACAACATACTCACAAGCCATAAAAGGTCATAAAAACAGAGACAAGAAGTCAAAGGTGCCAATCGTGGACAGCATGTGTCCTCAGGTAAAGTGATCTATTGCTCTGAGGAAGGGAGTTCGACTCCCGAAACGCGTTAGGACTTTACCTGAGGATGCATGCTGTCCACAATTGGCACCTTTGACTTCTTGTCTCTGTTTTTATGACCTTTATGGCTTGTTTGCTTTTGCATCTTTTTCATACATTTTTGGTTATTGCATTAATGCACGAGGAGAATGTGCCCTGTTTTTTTTTTTTTTTTTTTCCTTTTTAATCTACTATGAATACAGCAGGTCAAACTCATAAGTCATTCCCCACTTCCAACACCAAGATAGTTTAGAGCTCTAGTTTAAATATTGTAAGTTCCTCATCAATATAGTACTTTCTGAATCTCATTCTTGAGTTTAGATAAATGCAATTGTTGTATGTATGGCTTTGTCTCTTTGGAAATCTATTCTATGTGCCATCAGTCATTTACCACCCTCTGAGTCTTTCATGGAAGCGGTCATTGCCGACTTGTTTCTCTATGCTTTAAAGCAGAGCTCCACGCAAAAGGGGAAGTTCCGCTTTAAGGACTGCTCCCCCGCTCCCCATTAAGGATTGGTACCTTTGGGGGGCAGGGGGAGCGGGTACCCGAATTTGACAGGTAATCGCTCCCATTTCCGGTCAAATCACCTAGGCGATAGGACACGGAAGTTGTCCTCCCTCCCTGCAGTCTTTTGGGACACGTGACAGGTCCCAGAAGACTACAGGACCATTCATGAAGTGCAGCACTACTCGCGCATGCGCAGTGGGTACCCGGCTGTGAAGCCGCAAGCTATCACAACCAGGTGCCCACACTGAAGATGCCGGCCTCCTGGAATACAGGATGGCCGGTGAAATGGGCCGTGGGGGACACACCATGGGACCGAGGGACAGGTAAGTGGCTTTTTTTTTTTTTTTTTTAAAAGTCAGCAGCTACAGTTTTTGTAGCTGCCGACTTTTATTTTTTGACAGGCGAGTGGAACTCCACCTTAAGGATGTAATCCTTATTCCTGCATCAATACTTAGAAAATGACTGCCCCACACCAAACGTGAAAGGTCCTGAATATTCAGTGGATGCATTCCTGCTCTGGGTCTTTCACAGTAGAAAAAAGGAAGAAAATTACATTCCTAAAGATTACACCTTCAAAACTGAGCAATTGCAGCTCCCACTTCTTTCCTGACCGCTTTACTTCTTATATGCATTTTCAGAAAGATTTTGAGGCTGCATAACCTTGGTCCCCTAAACTTATCTGACAACAAAGCGACTGAACCCAAACATGCCTTGTATGTGGTATCTCCCACCACTCCTTTTATACTACTTTGGGCAGAGTTCCTGTTGCTAATCTTAAATGTAGATGTGCGAGTTTTTATTTTATTGCTACAACAATCATATATCCTTACTTTATACGGTGCTGTAAAGTGACACCAACATGACATTAAAACTGTATAGAAGTAAAGTGCTGTACAAAATAAAATAACAATCTCTAGCGGAATGGGGGAAGGAGTTGCACAATAGCAGTTTTCCTGTAAAGTCTGCCTAACATAGAATCAGACTGACTGCAGTACAACAAAATGACCACTTGATGTCAGCATAATGCAGCAGTTTGTTCCTCCATATAGAACACCCTCCATAGAAAAACATGTTGCAGTGTCACTAAGCTGGCTATAGACTGATCTTTTTCTTCTTCTTGATCAGCCTACAGGCTGATTTACTTTTTTCAGATTCTCCCATCTGCACATGCGAGGTGGAAAGAGGAATCTGCTGTTGTCAAGGGTACACATCAGCAAATAGCTGCTGCCACTGACCAAGAAACATTTTCCAACATTCCCATTAGACAGAGGTCAATTGTTGGATCGACTTTGGTAAAGCTAGAATGGCCATACATGGATTGAAATTTGGCTTGTCTAAGCTGAACCAACCGAATTTCAATTCATAAAATTGCAATGGGATGCAAATGTTATCCTCCTGAAACATCAGGTTACACATTTTATTAGTGGTTGTAAAATCCAGAACAAACCAATAATAATGACGATATAATAAAAGAGCAAAAAAAAAAAAAAAAGTTTCAAAAAGAAAGGCCAACTTAAAATGGTAAAAAACACAAAACCAAAAATGTAATATATGGACGCTTACAGGTGGTGGCTACATTAGTTTTCTGTTCTTTGGCTTTTTTTCCCCCCTGTTTTCCCCTGGTGATCTAGCCAGTAACATGCCTCCTGTATTAAAGTGCTACAACTCTAGATTAAGGGGCACAGTCGACAGCAGCATTGTCAGTCTGGGGAGAGGGTAGTATTAAATGTATTAGCAGATTTAGATACACTAACAAATTGAACCCTGAATCCAAACTCCAGCTCACACTTTATCCCAAAAAGAAAATACCAAGCTGTAACTTATTATAAAGGTTTTACATTAATAAAAAAACTGATCATTTTAAGCACTCCTGCCACTGTTTAATGGTACGTGTCATCTATGTAAACGGATACATTCTGCTGGGGAACTTGTGCTTTTGAAAAAACAAAAGACTTGCTGGTTGGATCACCAGATGAAAATAAAAAAAGAAATCCTAAAAAAGAAATCAAATCCTGCCATTATATCTAAGAATTGGTAAGCTGCAATATAATAAATGTTTGCTTTGGGGTTTAATACTGCTTTAACACTACATTCTATTTAAAAGAAAAGGTAAGCCCCAAATGCCACTAGCTTAAAGGGTTCTTCTCATCTTAGGTTTCAAATTAATTTGCTGTTCGTTACAATCATGAGAACTATGATTGTACACAGACTGCACTGTGTATGGCACAGTCACCAACCCAGGTATAGAATGTGGCCATTGCCCAGTTCCTACAAATCATGTGACCTATCTGAGCAGTGTCATTGACAACTATGCCATATAAGACAGGCACAGGAAAGAACACAAGCAGTGGAATATTTCTGGCATTGATCAATGATCAGTCTTCTTACTTTTTACCCACAGAAAGTTAATAATTGTCAGTCTCTCATATCTCTAAGCAAGGGAATGATCTGTTCTAGATTTCTAGCCAGATTATACGTCAAATACTCAGAATCTCCAGAGAAGATACATTCCGAAAAAAAAAGTGCCTCGTTCACATCAATCCACCAACCACATTTCAGTTCAGCTGATATCAGCCAATTAATGAGGCTTCAATCCCAGCACAACACATCGGTGCCAAACATTTGGACTGAACTAACATACTGGCTGAACAGGATTTAGTACTTTTGCAAACCTTGCGATAATAAATCCTGCTTTTTAGGCTCTATACCAGTACTTCCATTAGATGCCATGTCAATGGCTGTGGCTAATTAAACACTGTGATATGGACAGGGGCTTAAGTATAGGGGTCGCAACTGCAACCTGGCCCATGCTCCAGGGGACCTGTGCAGCTCTCCCCTGTACACCTGGATAGGAGGGGCAGTGGGGGCGTCTTATAGAAAACTGATCCCCTCCATTTTCCTCCTGCAGCTGCTGAAAGCCAGTTTCTCCTTCTCGATCTCCTGCAGGCCTTCAGTGACTGTGGGAGGAAAATGGAGAGTATCAATTACTCTATATACTGCTCCCATCACCCCTCCTATCCAGGTCCTGCAGCCCCAGGCCCCTGGTTTACTCTCCTTGCCCTCAACTCTTCTTCCCCCCCCCCCCCTCGTCCCCCGTAGCTCTGCCAGCTTCATCTCTCCCCTTTCCTGCAGGCTGCTGCGGGGGGATACTTTCAGGATGGAGAGCAGGTAAGATGTTCGGTAATTTATTCCTTTTCTGAATGGACACAGTGAGTGATTGGTAAGGATTATGAAGAATAAAATTGTACAGCACCACTTAAATTAATGTACATGAAACAATAATACAGTGAAATAAATCTCCAAAGAATGTACCTATATGTGAAAGCTACCGCACATGGTTTCATTTGTTTTTTCACAGCACAGATATTTCTATATAATTGGTAATAATTATTACTTCTGTGTCCATTCATAACTGAAGCATAGTAAACTGTGTTTACTATGCTTCATTTTGTGAATGAACAGGAAGCCGCTCTGTACAGAACTATTCCTCCCCATTAATTCTGTGCAGCTGAAGCTGCATACATGGAGATTGAGGACTGTGGCCCCTGATGTCTCACCAAAGCCCCCCAAATTGTAAAAAAAATAATAAAAAAAACCAAAATGGTAAAAAAAAAAAATAAAAATGGAAAACTACTGACACTAGTGACGAAATTACCAGGGTCACAAAGGTCGCACTTGCAACCAGGCCCTGGTGTTCCACCACCATGGAGGCCCCAAGATAGCAGGAAGAAGGTCCGCTGCAGAACATGTGAACGGGTCTCCCTGCGAAACTGTAATAAAGGGTCCCGTGACAGGAATAAAGGGCCCCTGATCAATAGGAATGGCCCTGGCCGAGGTGTAAGGGGTGCCCTTCAAGGTTTCTTGCACTGAGGCCCTGAAGATTCCAGTTTTGCCACTGGATATGGACATACTAAAAGCAGAGGGAGTGGAAAGTTATGATAACCAGTTGAGATTTTTTTTTTTTTTTTTTTAAGGCAGGGCAGGTTTTGGGCAAAACTACCACTTTCTCGCATGTTTTAAAGAAGCCATAGTTTCCATGAAAAAAAAAAAGATCCGCATACACTGTAGCCTACCTGAATGAAAGGTAACCCCTATACCACAGCTGAAACATACTGGCATCTTCAAAATTTCTTACCAGACTTTCAGCAGTCAGCTCTGGCAATTCATGGACGACACAGGATGGAAAGTCAAGAAGAGAGATGCTGAGAAAGGAAGAGATATAAATAAGACAGGGTATACATTTTAAATATAAATAAGATATACAGTATGTCAAGTGATTTTAACCATGCCCTAACCCAGTCTCTCTCAACAAGGGTGCCTTGAGGTTTCTTCAGGTGTGCCTTGGCAAAAGGTCTAAAAATTTCCCAAAATTTGTATAAAAGCCAGCAGGTGGAACAAGCCTGCCTGTTAGTTACACAAAGCTACAGGTTTTCATTGTGCACCATTACAACCTTCTAGCCGCTGACGTCCTGACGACCAATGACATCAGTTGATAAGGAGGATGTCAGCTGCTTGCACAGCATCCTTGTTTGACCCTCTCCTGCCCCTTTCCATCAGTGCTGGGGTCACATTAGCTCAGTGATAGAGAAAAACTGAGGAGGGAGAAGAGAAACATTGGAATACTAGTCAGTACCAGCGTGCAAAAGTGTATTTGCTCTGGAAGAATACATCACCTCTAATGTTGGGTGTCCTACATGTGTGGATGTTGCTGTATTATATGAAACTATTAGAATAGTTGCACATTTTAGAATTCGGTGCCCTTTTAAAATTATGGACAGCCTTGAGGCTCCCCATTTTAAAATGGGGTTCCTCAAAACTGTCCAAATTTTAAAGGGTGCAGCAAAGCTTTCAGAGTTATAACTTGTAACATTCCTAGCACTGCTGGGTATGCCTATAGACAAAGATACATCTACTATAGACACATAGGCACAGAAGCATTAAGAATCAGTAACTAAGGGCTTTTTCAGACAGGTGGCAATTCTTATTACCCTCTGAAAAGCAATCCGCAGTAGCCGGTTTTTCAACGGGCGGGATAGCAGCAGCTCACAGGAATTCAGGAAGCACTACTGCCACCTCTTGATCCCTTTTTTTTTAAATTTACATTTGGGGAACAACGCTGCAACTGCGAACCAAACATTTGGCTCATGATTGCAGTGTGGCTCTAATTATCACGATGGGTGGCTCTGCTTGTCAAATGCCGCAAGTTACATAGTTACATATTTAGTCTGGCTGAAAAAAGACAAAAGTCCATCCAGTTCAACCATTAAAAAAAAAAAAAAAAAGTTCTAATCCTATACACACAGTTGATCCAGTCAAAATGCCGTTGGCAAGAAGCAAAGCATGGCAGCTGTGGCATGTTCACAGCCCTAGCAAGCTGTAATGTTACAATTCCGGCGGGTGCCTAGGGAAGGGAGGGGTTCTAAAGCTGCTTTTAAAATCCCCCGGCTGCCAGTGTGAAAGAGCCCTAAGGGGTAAGGGATAAGGAATATAAATATAGCTATACACTATTCCTCTAGAACCACTGGCAACATAAGGCGTTGTCAACATTTCAAGGAATATTGCTTGCCAGAGAAGAAGGAGGTGGGTTTGCTGTACAGAAGGCTCTTTGGTAAAGCCTGCATAGTTTCTCTAATAGGTCACTATGATGCTTGCCGTAAAGCATAGTGTTTTATTTTTTTGCGCATAATCACACTATACACAGAGCAGCCCATTCGTTTTCATGGTCTTCCCTATGCATGGAAAAGTAGCTCATGCAACTTTTTTGAGCTTAACAGTGCTAAAAATGTGGCGCAACCATGTGATAACACCTGCCAACTGCAAGTCTACACAAGCGTCTACTAGCAGGTTCACGAGGTGGAAAAAAAAAAAACGAAAATGAATGCAGCCATCACATAGAAACGAATAAAATGCAACATATGACTTTGGATATGCTTTGAGGATAAAAAACAAACACATTCAGTATGTCTCTGCAATCCATGCACATTTCCCCATGAGTAAGCACATCAAAAGAACTGATTAGCTGCAATACATACATTTTGGAGTTTTAAATACACCAAGCCCTGGGCATACTTCATTGAAATGAATGGAAATAGATGGTATAAATTAAATAAAGCTATAGAGATATAATTGGCACCTTGCTTTGTTTACATTTTGAATTAGGATTACATACCCAACTCTCCCGTGAGGCTGATCTAATCTGGGACCAGTTAGAACCTCTGTTGAGTATTTTTTATTTTTATTTTGCCGTCTGTGCCCCTATTGGGAAATTGCACTCAGGACAATTGTTACTGAACAGAATGTAATGTGAAATTCAGTATTTTACAGTTATCGGAACATAATTAGGCTAGGTTCACACCTGTGCAGTTTGCATTTGATCCGTTTCTGCAGTGCTTTTTGCACATGTATTTTTGATGCATTTTTGTTTATCTTTTGGCCAACTTGTCGCTTGGCAGATTAAAAACGCAAAGCGCATGAAAAGTGCACGCAAATGCAGCACTTGCGTTCTATATTCGGTTTCATTGAAGTCTATCGGACTAAAAACGCATGCTGCTGCGGGAAAAGAAGTCCCTGACCCTTTCCAAAAAACGCACATTCAAAAACTGCATAGATGTGAATCATGATAAATGGCATGCACTGCGTTCCTGCAAAATGCACAAAAAAAAAAACCACGCAGGTGTGAACCTGGCCTTAGAGCAAATTCTTCTAAAGGAGAACCTGTTACGACAACAGTCTAAGAGAAGTTTTCCCCTCCCTCCTATAGATAAATCCACACACTTCCAGTTTTGTCTTGTAGACAGGAAGTGAACGGAAATCCAAAATAATTAAAAATCCATAAGTGAATGTGACACCCACTGTAATATATCCAGCAGGAGGGAAGACCTGCTAACTCAAGTACAGAAATCCATGAAAAATAATTTTTTATACATTCTAGATAATATGAGGATGCTGCTGACAAAATGTGTTTTCAGGCATTATATATTATATTTATAGAGCAAGGAATGTGACATTCACCAAATATGGACTGAAGGGAAATCAATCACTATGCACTAGGAAGATTCACCTGCAGTGAATGTTTGATAAATATCACAATCACTGCTTTATAAATATAGCCCTTAGTTTTTCTCCCAACACAGAACCATACAGCATTTTAAAATCTTGTATTAAATCTGGATAAAAGTCTGAACACCCTCACTCAGAGGCAAATTGTGTTACAACTCAAACAGTATGTTATTTATGCCACTAAATAAGATCTTTGTAAAAAAAAAAAAAAAATCTGCTCCCACCTGTTCTTGGCACAGATGTAGGACATAATGTTCTGGTTGAAGAATTTCAGGATCAGAGGGATGCAGTTAGCAAACACCAGGTGCTGGGAAACGTATTCAAACTACAAAACAGAAGAAGAGGAGCTGAGCAAGGCTATGTACTGCTGGGCAACACACTTATTTTTGACAAATATGCATTTCCAAAGTCTACCAGTTTGAATCTTGCCACCCTGTTAATGACATTGCTCAAAACTGAAGGTCCATTTAACCACTTCAATACCGGGCATTTTTACCGCCTTCCTGCCCAAGCCAATTTTCAGCTTTCAGCGCTGTCGCACTTTGAATGACAATTGCGCAGTCCTGCAACACTGTACCCATATGAAATTTTTATTACAAATAGAGCTTTCTTTTGGTGGTATTTAATCGCCTAGTTTTTTTTATTTTTTGCTAAATAAAATAAACACCTGAACCTTTGGAAAAAAAACAAAACGCACTTTTCTTCGTTTCTGTTTTGCCATCAGCTTGCAGAATGCAGTGAGGAAGCCACTGAGAGGACCATGTGCTGCTGCAACCATTTTCCTATACTGAGCAGCTGAGAAAGGGCACCACAAGGTTGTAGAGACGGGAGAAAAGTGGTCTGTTGCCAGAGTTTGCTGGAGCTATCTGATGCTGTACTGCCCAAGAGAAGAGTGCTGATCAGAGACTGCTTCTGAAGTCATAAGGGCAGCACAGTGGCTAAATGGTTAGCACTTCCGCCTGGCAGTACTAGGGTCATTGGTTCGAATCCCAACCACGACACCACCTGCCTGGAGGTGGTGTTCTTCCTATGTCTGCATGGGTTTCCTCTAGGAACTCTGGTTTCCTCCCACACTCCAAAGACATGCTGTTAGGTTAATTGGATCCTGTCTAAATTGGCCCTAGTATGTGTATGTATGAATGTGAGTTAGGAACCTTAGATTTTACACCCCTTGAGGGTTAGGGACTGATGTGAATGTGCAATATATATGTATATAAAGTGCTGCGTAAATTGACGGCACTATACAAGTACCTGAAAATACCCTGAAAATATTTTGTGCAATGTTACATGTCAGAGGATGGTCCTGGAAGCAAACAGGTGTGTGGAAAAAAAGACAGTTTCTGCTGGATGAACATATTCCTGCCGTAGGTGATCACAATTCAGTGAGAGCTTAGAGAAGCAGAGACTGAGAACCTTCTACCTGTGAGAGTGTTATTTTGGGTGCCTGGTGAGAGCAGACAGTACTAAAGAGCACTCCCACCAATTGTAAGGAAGGAAAAGTGGGAATGTCTCCGCAGGATTGAAAGAGAGATCATCAGCAACTTCTATCCTTGTCTCACTTGAAATGGACTTTTACTGAACCAGAGCATGTGTTCGGAGACCCAGAAGAGGGTACCCTAGGACTGGTAAGAGACTAACATCATAGAAGTTAATCTGTTGTCTAATGGGAACTGCTGTACTTTTTCACACAGTAGTTGGCCCCAACTTTGCTGGCCAACTTTTTTTTTCCATCAATCACTTCCAAGCAGGATATAAAAACTGAGAATGTTGTGTACTTACTTTCTAATACAAATATTATGGAACAAAAAAAAAAAAAAAAAAAACGGACTGTTATAGGTTAATTTTGTCTTTACATACTGTTATTAGGTAAATTCATTTTAGTGCTTTTAATTACGATTAGTCAGAATACTGCAGGTGTTTAGTGAAGCACAAAAGACAGAGTGCACCAACCTTGCGCATTACCTCAGTAAACAGTTAATTGATTTAGGAGATAAACACCTAAAGAGCTCTGATGAAGAAGGGCTCCCCCTTCGAAATGCGTCAGAGCCACTTTGAGAATCTCCCCTCCCGATGGGATGTGCACGTGTCTCCTTATCGTGTGGTTTGATTTTAGACTTTACATGCTTGTGAGTATCTTTCCTAAATCTAACTGTTTGCTGAGGTAATGCGCAAGGTTGGTGCGCTCTGTCTTTTGTTCTTCACTACAGTTTGTATCGAGCTTCCCCAGCTTTTTGAGCTGCACAGCCTTTGATCGGTCCTGGACAAATCTCGATACTCTTCATGAGTATTGGTCCATCGGCCCCCTACGGATCCAGGTCCCTGAGCGCAGGAGGTGTGGCATTTGTGGTACTTTACTGCAGGTGTTTAACCATACAATTACTGTTTGCTAATCCTTTCTTCTTTCAGGCTATGCTTACCTCAAGGTGTGTTGGGTAAGTGCTGGCAGAGCGAGGTGTGTCATCTTCAGGTGTGCAGGGAAATCACAAAACAATTCAGTGGCTCCTCTGGGGGTAGCAATGCATACATATGTGCAGTAAACATTACATACAATTGCAGGTTACTGTCAGCAATCAGTAACTGGGAGTCTGATTCTGTGAGCGCCTTTCACTAAAAGATAATGGGGTTTCTGACATGTGCAAAACATGCTCAAGTGTTTTCAAATACACTTCTCAAACCTGATTAATGAAAAATAGGCAGACCCCTCTCCTTGTCCAATGCTATGGATTGTAATGAGAAGATGTAGAAAGCAGAAATTTGTATTGCTGTCACACATTTCTGGGTACTATACCTGGTAGATGTGGTTCAGCTTAAAGTGTTTGAGCATCAGTACCAGCAGTGCAGATACACTTTTCACAATGATCTCTTTGTGACGGTTCACATCGATCCCCAGTTTCATGCTCTGCAGCACAGTGACCCTACGGGATGAAAAGATAAAGTGAAAACAGACAACGTGAAAATATAGCAAACACAAATGTCTACTCCCCACAAAGAGTTTAAATTATTGCATTTAAATAGTTTCAGTATTTGATGTAGTGATGTTACACATTTTACAGTCTCTACCATAGTATAGGCTAGTCTCATTTCATTGCCTGCAAAGCACGTTTTAAAGTGTTACTAAACCCACAACAGTAAAATCAGTCTGTATATGCAGTAAAGCATACTTGTTATACTCACTGTGGAACCTAAGGGGTTAATCCTCTGCATTGTGTAAAAAGGCCGTTTGATCTTTTCTTCTCTGCCCCTCCTGACCACCTGATGCAGACTGAACCCGTGGTCACATGCACAGGCTCAGTTTGGTGTGTATTGCTACAGGTGTTTTTTTTTTTCTTGGGAGAGTGCATGTGATCAGCACAGTACCAAATCAGCACTGTCCAGACAGAGGGTCAGGGGTTTCACATCCTCCTAGAGCAAAAAGAAAACTCCTCCTACAAGCTTTAACCAGTGCTCTGCTGAAGTCACAAGACTGCTCTAACTGCTGATGAGAAAAGGTTATTTAGCTGTTTATATTTACTAAAATAATTGCCCCTTTACGTGTACTGTGGGAGACCAGATATAGTGAATGCAGGGTCCTGGGTTTGGTAACAATTAAAAAATAAGTTCACCTTTTAGAAAAAAAATAATAAATGTACATTTTTTTGCAGGTAGAAAAAAATGTGCGTTTATTATTTTTGTCTGCAGGCGCCTGGAAAGCATTTCACCAGCGATCAGTAGATTGCTGATGCCATACAGTCTCCTGCAGACCTGTCATAATATCTGCTTGCTGTATGGGATGTACGATAAAGCAGACAAGACCTCCTTCTCTCTAGTTCCCTGGTCTCCTCCTCCCATGCCCGCCTCCAGGACTTCTCCAGGGTGTCACCCATCCTCTGGAACTCCCTGCCCCAACCCATCAGATTATCACCTACTCTCCTCTCTTTTAGGCGCACCCTGAAAACCCATCTCTTCAGGGAAGCCTACCCCACCCCCTGCTAACTTGCCGACCTCCTCCACTCTTCCTACCACTCCATCCCCCACAGCTATCTCCTCCTGTACCACCATCCCCTCCCTCCTAGATTGTAAGCTCGAAAGAGCAGGGCCCTCAATCCCCTCATGTTTTGCATTGTATTGGTATTGTTCTGTCACATGTTCTGTCCCCCTTTGTAATGTACAGCGCTGAGCGAACTATTGGCGCTTTATAAATACTGTATAATAATAATAATATTCTGACAGGAAGAATGAATAAACTACCACGGCACTGGTAGTTCATTGAGGACTTGTAGTCTCTCATTCACAGATGACTGCAAATAAATGATGCGGCCATGTGGACAGAGCCCCGCATGGCCACGTTTTTATTTAAATTTGACAGCAAGCGAGGGGAGAGAAGATCCCCCGCTAGCTGTCAAAGCGGAGATCGGGTGGGGGAGCAGGGACTGGTCTGAACATGACATGTTACACCCTGAATATGGATGTAATATGTTATGAAAGGTGAACTTATCCTTTAAGCAGAGATCAATTGAACAACTACTTGCTCTCGACAGCCATTTAAAAAAAAAAAAAAAAAAACACTTCACAAAAAAACACAACTCCACCTGTTTGTCAATGATCATTTTAAATTTGCCACTAATACTTTGCCATTCCTTTTGCACTTGTTTAATCACTTCCAGAACCTGCCTGTGATGAAATATATCCAAAGTTTCTGGGAGTAAGCACGTGTCTACCCATACACACCCTTCACTGACATGAATGATCATGTCAATGACACTACTGCAGTCTCCGTCTGGGAGCCAGAAGCTGAAGTTCAGAGTGAATGACACTCATTTAGAAAGCAACATTTACTACATACTGATAAAAAATCTCATCTGAGTGATAATCAGAAACCCACCAATCCTGTACAGTCATGGAGAAAAAAATAAAACAGCTTTCTGCCCATGATGTCTCTGGTCTCAAAGACCTTTGGTCAAAAAGTTGCTAAGTAGATAAGATTTTATTCATTTGTGCCTAACCACTTGATGATTTTCAATGAAAGAGATACATCTTAAATTTTAAGTTTTTTGGATGCATCTTCTGTTCTACTTAAAGTGTTACTAAACCCACAACAGTAAAATCAATCTTTGTATGCAGTAAAGCATGCTTGTTATACTCACTGCGCAAGCTAAAGGGGGCTAATCCTCTGCATTGTGCAAAAAGGCTGTTTGATTCTGACTTCTCTGACCCTCCCATTCTTCCAGTGTCCCCCTCTTATCTCCTGATAAGACATATGATGTGGAGACACTCTGCACAAGCTCAGTTTGGTGTGTATTGCCAGAGAGGTTGTTTTTTTTTTTTTCCTTGGGAAAGTGCATGTGATCAGCACAGGGCCAATCAGAGCTGTCCAGACAGAGGTCAGGGGTTTTGCATAATCCTAGAGCAGAAAAGGAAACTCCTCCTACAAGCTATAAGCAGTGCTGTGCTGGACACTGATAGAAGTCACAAGACTGCTCTAACTGCTGATGAGAAAAGGTATTTAGCAGTTTATATTTACTAAAATAACTGCATGTTCATGTTGTGTACTGTGGGAGACCAGATATAGTGAATGCAGGGCCTGGGCTTAGCAACACTTTAAAAAACCCCCCCCCCCCCCCCCCCCCCGACATCACTCTCTCTGCCACCATTACACACGGTCAACTAACAGCCAGGAATTGCTTTGGATTACTCAGCAGGGGTAGCTGGCAAAATGCAGCTGCTCCTGTGTACAACGGCACTTGCAGATAGTCTGCAAGTGTCGCCATGTTGAGTAAATACCTATTCCTTGAGTAAAAATGTATTGTTTCATTTATTTTACCATGTCAAATCATTTGTGATCTTTAGCTGACATTGTATGCACATCAAAGAAACCAGGAAATACAAGTCTACTATTTTAAAAGAAATTACAATTAAATGCATTTCCTATTTAACCCGTTATTACCTACATACCACTACTCCAGTGTTCTCCATGAGCTTCTGGGACCCATCCTGAGTGGCTGGCCTGTTGCACTGTGAACACCGGAGGTTGCTTGCTTGGCACGGGCAGCATTTAGAGAACATTTTGTATTTTCACAATGAGTGCAAAGCATTCTTATCTGATTGGATAAGGTGGAGAGGTGTTGCGCAGATGTCACAATCTCCACTTCATCCAATCAGAGAACACTTTGCATTTATTGAGAAATGCAAAGTGTTCTATGGATGGCAACTATACTGAGCAAGCAACCTTGTTCAGTAGGTAGCAGGACAACCGCTTGGCACAGGGCCTGGAAGCTAGCAGCAATTGCTGCAGTAGCAGTGCCAACTACAGTGATCCACAGGGATCAAATCAAAGCTAGACCAATGTAACCATGTAAAATTTGTAATATCTAAACTTCAATTTTTAAGTGTGTCTAGTAAAAATTAGAGACAATATCCAATTATATACAAACAGGTTATACAAGCATTTTTATTTTTTCATTCAGCCAGCAGATTGAAAAAAAAAAAAAAAAAAAAAAAAAAGACAGATCCTCACATGCAATTTTGATGCAGGGACCTTCCCTGCCACACTATTGTATTCTAACAGCGGGGACTCCCCTATCCTTAGACCAGCTTTTGTTAAAGAGTGGTACACAGGTACTGATTTTTTTTTTTTTTTTGCCGGTTCCTGCTGAACCGATGAATTTCAGGACATGTATACCCAGCTAAGAGTGCATTTCCCTCAAATTGATGAGTTACCTTCTACAAATCAGGATGTGAAGAGAAATCTCTCCAATGGAAAACAGATGGCAAAAGCACTGGAAGAATTTCATCGATCCCCTACTCTTTTCAAAATCGAAACAAATTGGTGATAGGTGTTCTTTAATTTTCAGAAGGGTCCAGTACTCCAAAAAGCTGGATCACGGTTACAGAAACCTAAGCCACAATTGTCATGGTTTAGCCAAACGAGTCAATATTACAGAAAAGAAGCAAAAAGAGGTGAGCTGCAACTCAGCCAAGACAACTGTTGTGGATATTTCCATAACACAATGACCTGGCTTTTCAGAGTGCCCACTCTATATAGTGTCAGGGATATTATGTACAGAAGAATGCCCACAGGTTTGCATATATTCCATCAGAGGTAAAGCATTTTTCTAAATAGCCACATTACCAAAGGAATTTTGTGGAACTTCAAAAAGGGAACTAGAATGTCCCTTAATCTAAGCAATAAGGTATAAGGCTTGGCATGATGCACTTCACCAACTGTTCAGATTTACTGAGCTTTACTAACTAGACCAGGGGTCTGCCAGGTGCTTTGCCTTTATCCAGCCCTTGGGGCACTATTCCTTCCACTGACACCAAAGACGGAGCATTAACCTCCCATTGACACCAACAATGGGGTACTATTCCTCCCACTGACACCAGAGATGGGGAACGGATTCTTCCACTGACACTAATCACAGGGCATTATTCCTCCAACTGATACCAGTTATGGGGCACTATTATTCCCACTGACACCAAAAATGTAATTATTTTTTACTCCCACTGACCACCAAGCCTATGGCATGGTTTACTTCCACCAATGCTGGGGCATTTTACTTCGACTGGCTACAGTCTGCCCCCCTAATAGTTGAAGGGCAATAAACTAGCCCTGCGTTTCAAAAGTTTGGAGACCCCTGAACTAGATCATTGCTAACAGCTGCTTTTATTTGGTAGCTTTACCCCACTTCAGTACTACTCACGGCATTTCCTCAGGCAAAATATCAGCCAGAATATTAATGGAGTCAGTCTTGGCTTTGGAAGTTGGAGCAGCTGCCAGAAGTATCTTCAACAAGGCAATCTACCAAAACAGGCACAAACTGGTTTATAAAATTGATAATATACCACAGATACAGCACTTATTTTTCTAGAGCAAAAAAATATACCCAATCCATTATCAGTTATGCAATAAATCAATTATAAGTCATTACGCGTTTTAAATTTTTCCGTTTTTTATGAACAGCTATTGCGGCTCACCAAAGTTTCCAAGAAACAAAACCGAACGATCAAAGGTGTGTGTCAAAGATCTGAATAAACCCAGACTGTATTGTTTCATATAGAAAGCATTCTGCTAGGTTCTTGACAACTAGCTTGGGGCACTCAAAAGTTAGATTATCTGTCAACTGGAAGCATAAAGCAACATCATTTTGAAAGCATATCTCACATCAGGAAATACCAATCCAAAGATGCCTACACATATTATAAATCAGATTATACCATTTCTTTTAGATTTACCAACAACTATGTAGTGAGTGAGACTGCCTGAATAAAATTAAATAGACTCTTTAAGTAAGTCCTTGCAATGCAGAGCTGTTGGTCAATCTGAAGAAGAACATGATATCACAAAGTACTATCAGATTTAAACATGTTTGGCCAGCCTAACACACACAACATTAAGTAATACAAAGAAATATTCTCAGGTTTTTCAGCAAATGATTTCCAAATTACTGATGAAGATGTTCATGTGGGCAGAAATCACTGGGTTCTGCAACCAAGAGTTTTTGTGCACACTGTAGTTCTGCCTCAAATGACAGTGAAACCCTACACAGGAATAAAAAGTCACCTAAATTAGGTGATTATATCATGCTTATGTTGAACAAAGTGGCACACTACAGTTCTACACCTTCCAATTAAAACTGAATTCCAGGAATTCAGCTGCTTTGTAAAAGTGAAGTCACACTGATTTAAGTTCAAGGAGGTACATGACATCTCATGAACTTATCCTCTATTATTCATATCTCCCAGAAGACAGCTTTCGCTGCAGTACCAGCAGGCCTGACACTCATCCTTCAGATATCAGTATTGTCAACATTGGAGTCGTTGCAGCTGCTATGCTCGCCCCTCTCCTCCTCCTGCCCAATCACAGAAGCCTTTGAATTATGTGAACTCATTCACAAAATACAAAAGGCAGCAGAGGTATGGGGTGAGCATAGCTGCTCTGTGTGCCTCTCTCCTTCCTCATAGCCCTGAATGTCTCAAGTGTATCTTCAGAAGAGGCATAAACCTGTTAGATATAAATAATAGAGAAGTTCAGGAGATGTTGTGCTCCTCCTTGGACCTAACTGATCACGTTCCTGCACTTTTTAGAAAGTGGCTGAATTCCTGGAATTACATATATAGTCTGGCTGAAAAAGACAAAAGTCCATCCAGTTCAACCATTACAAAAAAGTTATAATCCTACACCCACAGCTGATCCAGAGGAAGGCAAAAAAAAAAAAAAAAACCCCAGCAAAGCATGATCCAATTTGCTACTGCAGGGGAAAGGCAATCGGATATTCCCTGGATCAACTTTACCTATAAATGTTAGCATCTACTTATATTCTGTGTATCCAAGAAAGAATCCAGGCCTTTTTTAAAGCAATCCATTGAGCTTGCCAGAACCCACTCTTGAGGGAGTCTGTTCCACATTTTCACAGCTCTCACTGTGAAGAAACCTTTCCATGTTTGGAGATTACATTTATTTTTCTCCAGATGTAAAGAATGCCCCCCGTCCTCTGTGATGACCTCAGGGTGAATAACTCTACACCGAGTTCACTATATGAACCACTGATGTATTTATACATGTTGATCATATATCCCCCCCTTAATCTCCTCTTCTCAAGAGAAAATAAATTCAGTTCCCCTGATCTTTCCTCATAGCTGAGCTCCTCCATGCCTTTTATCCGTTTGGTTGCCCTTCTCTGCACTTTCTCCAGTTCCCCAATGTTCTTTTTGTGAATTGGTGTCCAAAAACGAAACTGCATATTCCAGATGAGGTCTTAATAATGATTTGTACCGGGGTAATATGATAGCTCTCTCTCTGGAGTCTATACGTCCTTTTACTACAAGAGAGGATATTGCTCGCTTTAAACACCATCAACTCTTTATTGGTCTCAAATGTCAATCATGTAACATTGTTATGTAGTTATCTTTTCAGCTAAACTTATGACAAAACAAAATAAGCTGCAGGCTGTATATACAAAAATGATTTCCGATCGCTGGTCACCTGACACAAGTTAGAGAACTTACCATGTACTGAGGTATGTTGAATAACATGGCTTTATATAGACATTCTGTTGCAGTCTGATCCACCTCCTCCTCTCCCTGTAAAATTAAAACAAGATCATTTGTGGAGTATTTTAACAATTACATAAAGGAAGACTGTTCTACTTGCCATATCAAACGATATTATCCATCCGGCAAGCAATGCTCAAAAGAAAGTTTCCCTGGAAATGTAAATCCTTTTGGCATTAGTGCGATATTAGAGACCACTACTATGTCTGACTAGTGTTACTGGACAGTTAAATTAGGAAATACAAGTACAGCTAACAGCTAGACGTCTTAGTTTGACGTCACAGTGTCAGGGGATTCCAACCATGGGTACCATATCTTATCAAATTTGGCTAAGCTGTTATAGGTGGCTCTATAAAAGGGGCAGAGTGGAGTTCAAGTTAAAAATCTCCTTGACAAAGTCCCACATGACGAAACGCGTCGGGACCATACACAATACTGTCAGCAGAGCAGATTGGTGTTAATCTCTGTGTGCTGTGAGCAGCATGATGCTGGGCAGCTGGAGGTTGATTGATGTCCTAGATTCCAGCTGGCGCCGATTAGTTCCACAGTATCTATCTGCATGTGTGAATTAGAGATTATAATTACAGTATTACACGATATGTGAGGTCGTTTTTCCTTTGGTGACCATACATCCTTCTTGGGATTCAACCTATGTGCGGGTAGTGGAGGATAATTCCCCCTGCTGCTTTCAAGCTGTATTTAACCATTTCACCTGAGGCTGTTCATGCTGTGTTTGCCTTTCATGATGATGTGAGTATATTTCCTACTTAATACTGGCGCTGTACTTTATGAGGAATCTTTAGGTTCTACATATATCTTGGCAACTATAGGGTATTTTGGTACAGCAGCTGGTCCTTATTTCACTTTACTTGTGTAGGTGTTTTTTTTTTTGCACATTTGGTTTTATCATCACTTGTTTTTTTGTGATAACGCATGGAGTTATTTTATTATAGGCCTTAAAAAGAGCCTCAGACTGTTGGTCAGTGGCACCCTTCATACAGGAACCTCTTCAAGGTCTGTTGAAGGAAATAGGAGTCTTCCTGCGGTGGACCAGGCTTTCTTAGGAGTCCTGCTTCATGAGGTAAAAAGAACCCAATTTTTGTTCATCACGGCATGCACACCCCCAGAGGCCCTCAAGGACTCGACTAACCCTGGACCTATATAGCACCCCGCCAGCAAATCAGTCTATACAAAGTACCCAAATGGTCACTCCTTGCAGGATCCAGTGTCAACCAGCGACCATACAGGCCTGCTCTGATCTTCTAAAGTGAGGTCTGTATACTGTAACTCTTGGCCCAGGGCTGTAGGTGATTGATCTAGATAAAGCCAATCCTTTTCCCCACTGGGGGAGCAGACACTGGCACAAAACTGAGGGCGGGCTGAGCTGGGAAAAGGTAATATCGGAGTGAGGATTCCGGATTTTTTGGCATGTATCCATTCACCTCAAGGTGTGAAGGTGAAACATTGTAAGACAGAAATTACATTTTTGTTTTCGAGTTTAGGCATGATTTAAAGTGTTACTAAACCCACAACTGTAAAATAAGTCTGTATATGCAGTAAAGCATTCTTGTTAAACTCACTGTAGAGCCAAAGGAGTTAATCCTCTGCATTGTGTGAAAATGCTTTTTGATCCTGTCTTCTCTGATCCTCTCCTTCTTCCAATGTCCCCAATCCATCTGCTGATAGTACAGAGCCCTAGGAGACACTCTGCACATGTTCAGTTTGTGTGTATCACTATAGTTTTTTTTCTTTTTTGGGAGGGTGCATGTGATCAGCACAGGGCTAATCAGCTCTGTCCAGAGAGAGGGTCAGGGGTCATGCAGCCTCATAGGACAGTCAGAGGAGAATGAAAATTTCTGCTACAAGATTAACCAGCTGGACATTTATAGAAGTAACAATACTGCTATATACTGCTAATGATATAGGTATTTAGAAGTTCAAATTTACTAAAATAATTGTATTTCCATATCCTGTGTACTGTGGGAGACCAGATATAGTGAAAGCAAGGTCATGGGTTTAGTAACACTAAGTAAAACTGGTATTGCTACATACAATTACAAGATGCCTATCATAGTGTTCTTGATAAGTGACCATCATGGAATGGACTTATGTACTGTATTATTCAGTACAGAACTGTGTATAGACATTGCAACTGAGGATTTACCTTTCACGAACACTCCCTGACAGCCTTTAGTTTTGAAGGTCTGGAAGTGGAAATTCTTCTATGTTAAGTTTTGGTCTCTTATACCTTTTTATCCATTTATAAACACCTAAGAATTTTTGGATCAATGAACCAATACACATCTTGCAATCTGGAAATCCATGTTGAGAATTTGTTCAGGTTTTCTTACTGTGCAGTGTGTGTCAGAAGGTGTCTCAATTTTATTAGGAGACACCATCAGATACAAAACAATAGAGACCCAGGTGCTTGGCTCAGAACACTAACTGGGATGCACAAGATTAAAATTTCACAAAAGTTTCACTCGTTTGCAATAACTGTAATCTAATTAAAAGCAATCCTCTTACCAGTGACACGGGACATTTTTCTAGCTCTTGTTCCTTTGTAATCTGTACATCAGCAATTGAAACATACTTGTGCTGGAAAAACAAAGATTAAGTCATCACATCACCCATACTGGGAACAATCTAAAGCTGAACACTGTTGAATTAAATACCCTTTAGCCCACGGGTGTCAAACTTCTGGCCCTCAAGCTGTAGCCAAACTACAAGTCCCATGAGGCATTGCAAGATTGACAGTTACAAGCATGACTCCCAAAGGCAGAGGCATGATGGGAATTGTAGTTTCGCAACAGCTGGAGGGCCGCCAGTTTGACACCCTTTAGCCTGAATCATTCATGGCCATGCAGGGAACCAGCTGAACTGGAATTGATAGTCTCAACAGATACTGTATTGGAAGCATAGATCAAACTGCATTTGTGAGCATAGAGTCACTATACACTGTACGTGTTATGTAATGAATGATTATGCTGAATGATTATGCATGAGATAACACGAAATTACAGGTAATATGCACTTTGGACAATAGACAATCTTCCCCATCCACTAGCCTTTCCCGATGCTAGAGAATATATTGCAGCTGTTTGTGGATTTCCCTCACAATTAATCTGATTTACTAAAGGATTTGAGAATATTCATACAATAAAATGTGTGAAGATTCACTTTGATTATCCAATCATGTACAGATAAAATACATAAACCAGGACTTTCTTTTCAAAGGAATGGGGAACTGAAAGTGAATATTCAAAAATGTTATTATATATAAAAATGATCAAGTAATTTAGTAAATCAGCCTCAGTATGTCTATCAGTGGTATTACACCAAGCTGCCAGCTATTTGCCTAGCAAAAAAAATAAATTTGCGGTCCTGGCGGTCACATGATCGGAAAAGGTCACAATCTCAAGGGGAGATCGGGACCTTTTCGTGAGTCACGGACATATGTGCTGGGAGCGTTCTCAGCACATATGTATTTTCTAATGGCACGCAAATATGCGGCCGCTTGGTGTCAAGAAACAGGAGCCGAGAGGCAGCATATTTGCATGCGCTCGGCATCTAGGGGTTAAAGAAAGAAGGTATGTTATGGGCTGCAATGGATTACTTCAGGGCTTCACTGGATAAAATTACATTTAGAAACGCTCAGTAAAAGTTGCATAGAAGACTCAATACAGGATCAGTTTTACACTCCAATACAACTGCTAGATATAAAAGGACTCAAATTATTTGTTGTTACCTGCTTTAAAATCTTCACACTCTCGTGAATAGGCCGTGGTAATCCCACCAGAGTATCCGTGTCACTACACAGGAGAAAATGCATCACATACACTGACTACTGGTACATAACAGAGAACACCACCAAGATTAATATTATACTCACTGTCCTAGTGTGAATCCAATGAACTTGTTTCGACTCATCTCCAGGAAGTTTTCAATGTCCTGCTCTCTGAAAAACACAATATACGGATAAGGTTCTATTTCTTCAAACAGAATCTGCAACTGATAACCAGCAATGTGCGGTTTAGAACTACTAGTACCCTAACCATTTTTGACCAAATACCACTGACTCCTGGATGCTCAGGTCAAATTTAGCAGCGTCTGCATGCACCAATTAAAAGGAGAGTTACAGCCAAAAATCTTCTGGCTGTACTTCTGTGGATCACAGAAGTGCAATTCATTCTGCACTCCTGTGGCCCTTTTCAGCTGACAGCAAGCTGAAGCCCACTGTTGGCTGACATCATTCAGCCAGTCCAGGCTGTGGAAAGATCGAGACTTTAAAGATAGGATCCACTCCAGCGTCTGGAGCGGTACCTGGCTCAGCCTCTCCGCGATCTGCAGAGAGCCTGAGCCGTACTACTCCATTTCCCTCCACAGCCCAGCGCTCCATTGAGTGCACTGGGTGGCAGAGCAGACAGCAGTGACTGACAGTCTTTGCTCAGAGCGGCTGTGAGAACTCAGTAATAAGCGGTCAAGTGATCGCTGAATTCTCACACTTAGAGCTGGCGAGAAAAAAAGATACAGCATTGGACCGATGCTGCATCCACCTAGGCAAGTATGACTGGGGGGAAAAGAAAAAAAAAACCCTACTTCTCTTTTAACCCCTTGACGCCGACGTAACACAAATATGCGGCCTCACGGACCTGGGCTTTTTTCCGTGGGGCCGCATATTTGCGTACCTGTCTTTGTGCTGGGAGCGCGCCGCTCGGCGCGCTCCCAGCACCAAGACCGCGGTGTCACTGAGAGCCCCGGGTCCCGTTCTAAACGATCGGGACCCGGGACTCCCGATTCCGGGTCACGTGATCGCTGTGATAGCCTCTGATTGGCTATCACAGTGATCAATCACTGTGCAGCCCGGCCCCCTTTGTTTTTCTCTCTCTCTATGAATGGAGAAGAGAGATACATTGTATCTCTCGAACTCCTGACACAGAGAGAGAAAAAAAAGTTTGTAAAAAAAAAAAAAAAAAAAAAAAAAAAAGATAAATAAATATAAAAAATAAAAGAAAAAATAAAGAAAAATACCTAGATCAAGGTTTGATCTAGTTCAGTACCAGGGTTAGTGTTTGGGTCAAGGTCAGGGTCAAAGGTCAGGGTCAAAGGTCAGGATTTTAAAAAAAAAATTGGTATCAGTGTCAGTTAGTGTTAATGTCAATGTCAGTGACAGTGTGTTTTATATTAAAAAAAAAAAGACAAAAACAAAATGCGCACTGTTGTTTCTGGACTGTACTACGGGTACAAACAACAAATAACATACACATATATGGTATCGCTGCGATCGTCAAGAACTGGAGAATGTATTTTGAGTTGTTCTTTGGTGGTAGGTTATGGTCGTAACAAGAAACACACAGTTAAATTTAAAAAAATGATTTTTTTTACTATTTTGGCCCAGTTTTCTTTAATAATAAAAAAAAAATTAGGAGCTATCCATGACCATTTACCACCAAATGAAAGCCCAATTTGTCCTGAAAAAAACAAGGTATAATCCACCTGGATGTACAAAGTAGTTGTGACGATATGTACGGTTTTACTAACACGTCAACGTTGCAGAATTGTGCTTAGGCATTTAGATTTGTTTTACCCTTAGGCGTGAAGGGGTTAACTTAAAAACTCTGACTTATTACACATCTTTATATATACGGTTTTTTTATTTGCGAAAAACATCACTACCCTGTTTTTATTTGAGGCTGACAAAATGTGCAAACATGAAAAAAATAAAATTTATTTTTAATAGGGAAGCTGTATCTGAAAAATGAAAAAAAATACACGGCAATGCAGATCAACACTACAAACCAGGCTGAAAGTTTTCATCTTTATCAGGAACTTTCAGCCTTTACATGATCACTATGTCACAGACAGTCGAGGACCCATCAGTGAACGAGTGATTAAACCAGCAGCTATGGGAAGTGTTGAATGTGGGTTTCTCATAGGGGAGAATGCATAGTAAAAGTATCCTTGGCCTGAGACATGACAGGAAACGTTATTATACGGATTGCAAGTGGGAAGAAGGAGTTAAGCAATTTTTAAACAGAATAAATTCAGAAACTCAAACTTATTTCTATCCCTGTGGATATAGTAGATTTTGTTTAGTAATTGCACAATTCAGAAGCTGTGCTTCAATAAGCACATACTATATATTAATTTTTTTTAGTACCACTAAACTAAAAACTAAAAAACAAAAAATGTATGGAATTAAAAGACGGTAGTTACTATAAGTTATGCTGCAGAATATTGGTGCAATTCTTTATTTAAAAAAAAAAAAAACAAACAAAAAAAAAAAAACAACAAAAACCCATTATCTATGTTAATGATATCTAGCCTCAATCTTGTAGCTTGCGAAACACTCAAAATAAAGGAGAAATACAATAATGCGTGAACATATACTGAATATATAGTCTTTTGGGAACAAATATATAAAGGAGCATGTTCATTAAAAGGAAAAGTTTGGGATAGGCTAAATAATTAACAAATATTACCATAATCATGAATCAGCTGTTAATTCTTTCCTCCCTCCTTTTGTTTTCCCAGCATGGGCACTTCATCTGTCATGTGGGTACCAATAATAGGCCATTTGCGGTTTGAAAGTTCAGAGGGGATGGTTACAACATCAGCTGTCAACCCCCTCTTCCTGTCTCTCCTACACTGGAGGATGTGGTCACGCTGTGGCTACAGCACACACCTGAACAGTAAAAAAGTTTACTGTTTAGTGTTATTCTTATGTATAAAAGTGGAAAATACATAAGTAGCATGGACATGGCTGAATCTGGGGGGGAGGGGGGAGTGTTAGGGAGGGTTGTGGCCCCCCCTCCATTCTCCATGGATGCTGTGCCCATTGAGCTCTTTATCACATCCCTGCACTGCACACAGACAACACAGCTCCTCTCCCCCTTCTCTCCCTACCTCCTCCCCTAGCATAACACAATTTAGATCAAAGCTCTTACAGACAGCCCACATCAACACACTGTGAAGCTGCCTGCTATGCTGCAGTGGCTATGCAGCATGGAATCACGCTACACAGCGTGCAGATAGAGGCTTGTCTGTAAGAGAATGGATCTGAACTGTGTCCGGTGTGAGAAGGGGGGTGGAGGGGAGAGAGGAGCTGTGTGAAGTCTCAGGAGTGAGCAGGCAGCTCAGAGCCGATATTAAACATAGGAGAAGGAAAGGAATCCAGACAAGAATGAAGTCCCGCCACGGGTATTTACCTTGAATTTAAACAGAAAGGGTGCACTTCTCAGGGGGCTGGAAAGATTGTTATGTACTAGCAGCTCACAGGGGAAAGAAAGAAAAAAAAAAGAAAAAGAAAGAAAGGTGACACCAATCATTCTCTTAATATTTAGGAGGCAGTGCAGGTCACATGAGACAAGGTTAGGGTTTGGTAATGTGCTGGAAGTATGTGATGGAAAGGAAGACAAAGTAATATTTAGTGCAGGCACAAAGTAATGCAGCTCTGAAACCAAAACACTATGCTACTTTGTATAACCAATATACATTAGTGATTTGTGTAAAAATTTAGTTCTTTTCACCTTACTTTAGGTGCCCAAGGAAGACCCTTGGGGAAGCACACTCGCTCTGTGTGGATTCTCAGGCAAGCCAATGGCTGTGACATGACATCCCTTTCTTGTAAATCAGACTCTGCCTCCACCATGTTATCTGCATCTTCGTTTTCATCCTCTTCTGCCCCTGCACTTTCCTCACTCTTGAACGGGTCTTTCTCATTATAGAGATCAAGGCTGTCCTGTTTGAATTAGTGATGCAGACATTAGTGTTAAAAACAGTAGGTAAAAGGTGCACCAGTTAAACACAATACATAAAAGGGCAAACATGACTCATTTAGACATTCTTGTGATGTAATGGGGCTTACTTCTGCAGGTTGGGATTTAGTCCCAGCTTTTCTAGTTAACAAATTTACACAACAGGTACTCCCCCCCCCACCCCTATATTTTGTAGAAACCTGGAAGTTTGTATTTAGCTCACATACAACTTTCTGGATCATGACTATGTCAAGTTTAGTCATGGCTTCTTTTAACGGAATACCATCCAAGCAATAGGCTTGGGTACATGCATGGGATGCTGCAGGAGGAAAACCATGTTATGGCTTTCGACAAGTCACAGCATTCAGCTTTTCCTAAATTCAAACAAGAGGACTGGAATATAGTTTATTTCCTTTCATGCAAAGTGGGGCTAGGGACCTTTTTTTTTTTCTCATAGTGAACCTAATTTAATTGTTTGACTTATTTGGCATGAGGTCACATGTGCTGCAATGCAGTCACTTACCCCAGACAAAAGAAAACAACCTATGCAGACAAACATATTTAGATCCATGTAAGGTATACCCTGCGGCTACGTCGCCCCCTCCTCTGCTGCTCGCCAAATTCAATTCCGTAGGATGGAGGAGCAGTGGCCCTCATGTTCTTCATTACTTGTATACTGTCCTCCTGCAGTGGTGGAAGACCCAACTCTGCTCTCTTTCTCTCCTTCATCTTCTGCAGCTCAGAGAATCCCCCTAATGTAAACTAAGTAAAGTACATCAAAATGAGTTTGCGTATAGTTTGAAGGTGCTTAGCAATGAGATACATTACATATACTATATAAAATAGCCTAAACAGCACAAGCTTCTTATTACTGAACATACCAAAAGAACTTTCCAGAGCAATAGGAGGACCTTTTTCATGGGAAAATGTGGAGAGTGGCCACTACAGAACTTGGTAACCATTGAGAAGAGGAGGTAAGCAAATGGTTCCTCCCCATTGGATGGAAGAGCTAAACATATACATGAAAAGAGTTACAATTTAGGATATAGACAATAAATTATATGTAAGGAGGTAAACAAGACTGATATATACAAACAATAATATGAAATACAATAATATGAAATAAGATGTGCAAGATATAGCTTTTCAGAACAAAGAATATATGAAATTGTCAATCAACTTTTATTTATTTTTTTTAAGATTTGAGGAAAAACAGTAAGGATCTGGCTTGTGCAAGAATCTGAAAATTAAGCCTTAAATTATAATAAAATATTAAAAAATGCCAGCCTAAAGAAAAAAAAATTTTTTTTTGAACTGTAAAATCCATTTGCATTCACAAAAGGGATGCAGGAATTAAGATACGTTTGGATTATATTGCCACCTAGAAAAGCATTGGGACACAGAAAAGCAGGGTCAGCCCAGTATAATTCCTTGTATGCCTCAGTTTTGTAGCAAAGCAGCACCAAAAGCATGATCATAAACAGAAGGGTGGAATTCTCTGTTACTCATGAAATAGATTTTATGGCAAGTTTATATTCTCATTTCTTGAAGGACATCAATTCAGACACAATTGTGACATCCACAAAAGCAGTCCAATTAAGAGATGAGCAACAGCAACAAAATACTAGCAGACCCACACAGCAAACAACAGAACTGGGGACGGACTGACTCAGATAGGACCTTCAGCCACCTGCAGGACCTTACACATGAAGCTGGCATCAGATGAAGCTTGAAAATCCACACCGGTAAAACTTCTAGAAACTAGACGGGAATATTCCTTATGGGTTTAAAAAGTGGTTTTTGAAGTCCAAGAAAATCAAATTCAGATGTCAGAGAGACAGAGGGAAGCACACACACCAGGAGCCACATGGGAGAAATCCTATACAAAAAGGTCTTGAGCAAAGAATGGGAAGCCAAGCAGACTCTGGGACAGGATCGCTAGAGACCTGATCCTTGATGGCACTAAGGCCAACTACTGATCCAGGGCCATTTGAAAAGAAAGAAGGACGAGGAAGAAAGAAGGAGAGAAGAAAGAGGACGAGGAAGAGGAGGAAGAGGAGGAAAGGAGGAAAAGGAGGGAAGAGGAGGAAAAGGAGGAGGGAGGAAAAGGAGGAAAGGAGGAGGGAAGAGGAGGAAAAGGAGGGAAGGAGGAGGAAAAGGAGGGGAAAAGGAGGAAAAAGGAGGAAGAGGAGGAAGAGGAGGAAGAAGGAGGAGGAAGAGGAGGAAAGAGGAGGGAAGAGGAGGAAGAGGAGGAAGAGGAGGAAGAGGAGGAAGAAGGAGGAAGAAGGAGGAAGAAGGAGGAAGAAGGAGGAGGATTCAGCTCACAGAGAATTTGCTGGGATGAAAGTTTATTGCCTCACACTAAGTGAAAGATGCCTTCCATGTGCAATGGTAAACCTTGTGAGAAGAAAACTTCCCAGCTTTCAGAATTGTTGGGATCACAGATCCACAGGTGTCTTTGTCTCTCAGAACCTGGACTTCAACAGCTGTAAGAAGTCAATGGCCCTGAAAGCACAGTGGCAAACCAGTTCTTGAGACTTAAGATCTGGAAGATCTGATGGAGCATGGAGCTCACAAAGCATCTGACAGGAGTCAGATAACGTCACAGTATTACATCCACCTGATCCAGCTTGAAGCTATGAAGATCATCTGAATACCCTTCATGTCGATCCTGCACAGCAGATGGGGAGTGATAGGGGAAGAAAGGCATACATTGTGCTGTACTAACCACGAAGTGCCACCAGAGCATCCACTGCTTAAACTATCTGGAAGAAAGTTCAAAACTAATCTCAAAAAGTACTATTTTACTGAAAGAGTAGTTGATGCTATTTTACTGGAAGGTAGTGAGCCAGTCAACAATAAATAGCTTCAAACATGCTTGGGACAAGCATAGATCTACACTCAGACAAAAAATGAACACACCACCCAAACATTAAAAAAAAAAAAAAAAAAAAAAAAAAAAAGAGCGTAGGGACCATTCTCTTGGCTCCAGGATGTGCAAGTTGAGGAAGTCTGTCTGCCACTGGTCCACGCTTGGGATGTAAATGGCGTACAAGGCTGGAAAGTAAAATTCTGCCCAGGACAAAATTCCTTCTACCTCTCTTGCCACAGCAAGACTTCTGGATATTCTCAGGTGGTTGATGCATGCCAAACTGTGAAGTTGTCTGACTGAGTTCTGATAATATGGTTGCATAAATGTGCACATCCTCTTATAACTGGGGATGTAGCTGTGTTCAGGATTAAGTAATCACATTTAAAATCGTGTTAAATAGGAGTCAGTACACACCTGCCATCATTTAAAGTGCCTCTGATTAACCCCAAATAAAGTTCAACTCTTCTAGTAGGTCTTTCCTGACATTTTCTTAGTCGCATCTTACAGCAAAAGCCAAGGTCCGCAGAGAGCTTCCAAATCATCACAAGAATCCACCATTGTTACAAGGTATCACTCAGGAAAAGGGTACAAATCTGTGGCGTGATCTGAAGAGGGATGTGCACAGGAGATGTCCTCGCAATTTGACAGATTTGGAGTGTTTTTACAACAAAGAGTGAGCAAATATTGCCAAGTCAAGATGTGCCATGCTGATAGACTCGTACCCAAAAAGACTGAGTGCTGGAATAAAATCAGAAGGTGCTTCAACAAAGTATTAGTTTAAGGGTGTGCACACTTATGCAACCATATTATTTTAGTTTTTTATTTTTACTTCCCTCCACTTAAAAGATTTCAGTTTGTTGTTCAACTGAGTTGTACAGTTTATAGGCCACATTAAAAGATGGAAAAAGTTCTGAAATGATTTATCTTTGCCTCATTTTTTTACATCACAGAAACATGGACATTTTAACAGGGATGTGTAGACTTTTTATATTCACTGTATATGGTGACACAGGCAGGTTGAAAGTAATGAACCAAGAAGGGGCTGGGAGCAAAATTCCACCTTATAGCCCCTGGAAACCCATCCACCACACTCATTCAACTGAAATGCTAGCTGCCCAAGAGTCTGCAAAGGCTAACGGATACCCTCCCACCTTGGAAAGTGGGGCTGACCCTCCTGGGGTAGAGCAAATGAGGCAGCCGTTACCAATAGAGCCATGGATGTATTCCAAGGATGGCATAGACTCTAGCTGTAGACAACATTTCCAGACCATCTGTATCAGCAACCTCAGGGGGGGGTACACTACAGGCAGCACCAGAACCATTACTGAAGTGTTTTCTGGTAGCAACCAGTACAGTGGGACTGTCCCCATGTATCTAGAACCAGGTGTGTTGCAGTGCAAAGTGGAATGCAACACAGCTCAGGGTATGAGGCTAGGCCTCAGATACGCACTAACCTGGCTGCAGTTTAGCAGGAATAGGGACAAGTGGCCAAATGTGCCCAAGATACTGTAAGCGGGCACAGAGATGAACGGAGGAGAAATCCACGTCATTTTTAATCAGGATTAGAATCGAGAAGGCGCTTTCTGAACACTGAATGGCAGGACACAGAGCAAGCCGCATCTGTCAGAATAAGTTGAATGTGGAGTCAAATATAAATCCTACAAAAATGATCTTGTAGTGTTACAATGGAGACTAAATATTCAGAATTCTGCACAAGTACAATTATGACTGGTTCTCTGTAAGAACTGCTGTTTGCTTGAAAAATATGTCCCCTACGCACCAAGTTCTGTTTGGAAAGTTTGTCTCTGTAAACTCCATTCTGGATCATCTTCTGGTGACTCCTGTCTTATATTTTCCACCAAGAGATACATGACACTTAGAATCACCCTAGACAGAGAAAAAGGGCAGAAACCTTTATACCATGTCAAGTACTGAAAAAAAAAAAAAAAAGGATACTTGAAACATGTATGATTACATCACCCACGTGGACTTACCGGAGCTCAGTGCTGTCTGCCAATGACAGAGCAGGCTTCCTTAGAGCACTGCTGCAGGCCTGGCTGTTCCTAGGACCAAAGATATATACATGTTCAAAAGTCCCTGAAAACTGAATGTAACATACACATTATTTATGCACACTGTTCAAAGGGCAGCATAACCAACAAAACTTTGCATACTTCAGGAAGGAGAACATATTGGATTGCTATATACTACTGCACTTCCCTGTTCCATGTTTTAACCACTTCAAGTCCGGACACTTTCACCCCCTTCCTGTCCAGGCCAATTTTCAGCTTTCAGTGCCATCACACTTTGAATGACAATTGTGCGGTCATGCAACACTGTACCCATATGCATTTTTTAGTATTTTTTTGAGACAGATAAAACTTTATTTTGGTGGTATTTATTCACCACTGGGATTTTTATTTATTTTTTGCTATATAAATGAAAAAGTCCAAAATATTTTGAAAAAGTGTTTTTCTTATAAAATTTTACAAATAAATAATCTTTCATAAATCTTGGTCAAAACGTATTCAGTTAGCTTTCTAGTAAAAAAAAAATAATAACCCAAATTAGTTTATAACCAAAAATTATATTTTTTCAAAAACTTTACATTTTTATTTTATTTCTTTAATATTATGGGTTTTTTTTTTAACATACTGTCACCCTAGCAGTACAGTGTCACCATAGTGACACTGTACTACTTGGGGGGGGGGGGGGGGGGCTGATGATTTTTTTGTTTTACACTGATTGCTTTTACACCCATAAAGGCTGTAAAAACAATAATTTCTCCTTCTCTCTGGCTGCATTCCTGCAGCCATTGAGGAACACTGAGAGCTGTGATTGGTCACAGCTTGTCATATGGTACAAGGCTGTTGTAAATAGCTTTGTACCATGTGACCTCTGTGATCATTCACAGATTTCACTAGTAGTAAGCAATAATGTCAGGAAGTGACATCTTGCTTACTACTATTCATGTGATCACTCACTGATTGGCCAATCAGTGATCACATAATCGGGACCTCACACAGAGGTCCCGTACAGCGATCAGTGTTTTGGAGAACACAGGCTGTAACTGTGGGCTCCGTGTATGAACGGCAACCCGCTCCTGCGCTGCTCCCGTCCGGCCGTTTATGTACATGGACTGGACGGGAAGTGGTTAAATAATCAGATTAGGACAATAATACAGTATATACTGGTATAAAATGATCTTGCAGTGTTCTAACAATGATGACTAGACTATCACGTTAGAGAGTAATACTTTTCAATTATTAAGCCTACTTTTAGTTGTAACTTTGCAGGAATATGTTAAAGCTCAACTCAAGTCAACTTCTCTTTGGACTAGAGGTGATGGCAAACCTCCCAAATAATTTTTTTTTTTTTTTTTTTTTTACACAGTTCTATCATTTCCAGCTCAGAGTTTTGGAAGGAGCTGGGCTTTTTGCTTGGTTCCTGCCCCCACAGCCCCTAGAAAATACACAAATAACCAAATCTTGGAAACAAGCTGCCAAAAAATTATACATATGTGGTATATTACCAGAAAATAGACTTTAATAGAAAAAAAAAAAAAATAGCATTTGAATTTTTTTGCATGAGAAATTGCTCAGATTTTCTTTATGTAGACGTTATGGAGCAGTTTCTGGGCAGCAACAGACTCACAGGCAAATCTTACTTCTGACAGCTTGATATAAGATGACTTGGGTGGAACTATGAAATATATTAGTTTTTGTTTTTTATGCATGGTTCTGAGTTCATATGAAAGAACACATTTTTATGAAACATCTAAATGCACCAATATACTAAAATAATACAGAATGTTACATAGAGAACTCAGTTGTCTTACGCAATTTCCATGTTCAGAAGTTCCAAGAAGACAGCAAATGTCCCCATCTGGTACAGGAGGAAGCAGTTGTATCGGGACCAGTAGAGGACATCAGTCTCATTCTCACTTTCTCCAAACACCCCTGGCAAGAGAGATCAACAGGTGTCATCCACTTATGCCGGCCATACACATAAATGTGAAGTCCGTGCTATGCAAGAGAGCAATTTTGTTGCATTCTGACAAAAATGGCACAGGAGGTGCCACCTTTCCCTGAAAAAGGCTTAAAAAAAGAAAGCTTCAAAAACAAGTGTAACACAAAAAAAAAAAAAAAAAAAAAGACATTTTGAAATTCAAAAGTTTAACCATCCCCTAGAAGAAGGCATGTCCTTTTACATATTTAAAAAATTACACGTTCACTAGCTTGTAGAAGAAAGAGCAAGCCCATACAGTAAAGAGGATTATTTGCCTTTCCAAAGGATGGTCAAATGTTTGCTCTCAGATACTGCTGTTATCTAAGGGGGGGGGGGGGCCATAAGTGGATCGAAATTTGGCCAGTTCAGCAGGGACTGGACGAATTTCAATCCATGTATGGGCAGGGAGGTGGTACAGAAGTTGTCCTACTAACTGACTTCTGTACAACTAACCTAACACATCCAGATGTTCTCATAGCATCTTGCTCAATTGGCACTATGGATTCCTCCCTACATTACATCACATTAGAATTAATCTGGCAAACCTATTTTAGTTACAGGTTCCCTTTAAAATGTAAAGTACTCCATGGGTCTTATACAGACTCCCGAATGTCAACTAATTTTTTTTTTTTATTATTATTCCTAACTTGAACATTTTTTTTTATATTGATGACTCTTTATCATACTTAATGCCTTATTATTGAGACACTGATAATTTTTGTTTCTTTTGATACTGAATTTGTTTTCCCATTTGGTTTTACCTTTGTCTTATACTGTACATCTGTGTGTAATTACTTGAGATGTAATATTTTTGTATACACTATATTGCTAAAAGTTTTGGGACACCTGCCTTTACACGCATATGAAGTTTAACAGCATCCTAGTATTAGTCCGTTGGGTTCAATACTAAGTTGGCCCGCCCTTTGGAGCTATAACAGCTTCTACTCTTCTGGGAAGGCTGTCCACAAGGTTTAGAAGTGTCTATGGGAATGTTTGGTCATTCTTTCAGAAGCGAATTTGTGAAGTCAGACACTGCTGTTGGGCAAGAAGGCCTGGCTCGCAGTCTTCGCTCTAGTTTATCCCAAAGGTATTCTAATCGGGTTGAGGTCAGGACTTTGTGCAGGCCAGTCAAGTTCCTCCACCCCAAACTCGCTCATCCATGTCTTTATGGACCTTGCTTTTTGCAGTGGTGTGCAGTCATGTTGGAACAAGAAGGGGCCATCCCTAAACTGTCCCCACAAAGTTGGGAGCATGAAATTGTCCAAAATGTCTTATATGCCGATGCCGTAAGAGTTCCCTTCACTGGAACAAAGGAGCCAAGCCCAACTCCTGAAAAAAAAAACCCCGCACTATAATCCCCCCTCCACCAAACTTTACATGTGGCACAATTCAGTCAGGCAAGTACCATCCTCTTGGCACCGCCAAATCCAGACACGTCCATTGGATTGCCAGACAGAGGAGAGTGATCTGTCACTCCAGAGAACACAGCTCCACTACAGTCCAGTGGTGGTGTGCTTTACACCACTGCATCCACTGCTTTGCATTGCACTTGGTGATGTAAAGCGTGGATGCAGCTGTTCGGCCATGCAAACCCATTCCATGAAGCTCTCTACGCACTGGTGTTGTGCTAATCTGAAAGCCACACAAAGTTTGGAGGTCTTTAGCTATTAACTCTGCAGACAGTTGGCGACTTCTGCACACTTTAGCATGCAGTGACCCCGCTCTGTCATTTTACGGATCCTACCACTTCGTGGCTGAGTTGCTGTTGTTCCCAGTTGCTTCTACTTTGTTATAATACAACTAACAGTTGATTGTGGAAAATTTAGTAGCAAGGAAATTTCACGGATGGACTTATTGCACAGGTGGCAACCTATCACGGTACCACGCTTGAATTCACTGAGCTCCTGAGAGCGACCCATTCTTTCACAAAACGTATGTAGAAGCAGTCTGCATGCCTAGGTACTTGGTTTTTATACACCTGTGGCCATGGAGGTGATTGGAATACCTGAATTCAATGATTTCGAGGGTTGTCCCAATACTTTTGGCAATATAGTGTATATTTCACTTTGATTTTGGCTTGGTCGTTATAAAATAAGTGAATGGCTTTTTAAAGCACCCAAATTGTTATTCTGAATGTGTATGACCTAATTGTTCCTGCCATATATCACACCTGGTACCTCTCATATTGTTAACCGATCTTTAAGAAAAGATTGTAAACAGAAAAAAAATGCAAAGTACTACACAATATATTGGTACCAACCTTTAAATAAAGAATCATCATAGTCATAGTTAACCATACAATCTAAGCGGAATTTATATTTTCTCTAGGATTTGTGTGGGTTTATGTAGGATCTGTGCGCTTAAAATGTTTGTCTTTGCTCGCAAAATCCAATTGCATAAAGAATACTAAACGGCTTCTATCATAATTGACTCTTATGCATGTGACAGTATGACTAGAACATGAACAACAAAATACAAACTTCTTTGGGAGGAGGGATTAATGTGAATGGCTCTCTGTTTCCTGGAAAGCAATATAGAATTTGTTTGAGCCACACAAAGCAGTAAACTAAACTGTACACAATGGGAACTGGTTTGATGGAACAGAGAAGAGATGAGTGTGGAATGTAAGTTACACTCATGGTCTAGTTTCTAAACTGCTGGTTGAAAACTCCTGTCTCATCAGACTGATAATTAGCCAAGGACCACAAATGTCACTAAACGGATTAGCAGTTTCGTCAAAACATAGCCTATCTGTACTGTACGGGAGCCCGATGAAATTACGATCCTTAGTTTTCCTAATTCCCTTCTTGCAACTGGTGCTCACCTTGTGCCAAGTAGAGGATAGCTCTAGCCGCTGACAGACGTTTCTCCCGGGACACCACCTCCAGTTCATCAAGGAGGCACATGACTTGAGTTCTGTGCTGCACTGCGTCCAGGGACAACCATCTTGCCTCTCCTATTGGCAAAAGAACATGTAAGAAGCGTAGCACAATAGGGTTGATTTACTAAAGGCAAATAGTCTGTGCACTGCAAGTCTAGTTGCTCTAGATCTGAGAGGAAGCTCTGCTGATTTCTATTGTCCCATCATGTGCAAGAAAAAAAAAAAATGCTGTTTTTATTTTAATTTTGCTTGCCTTTGATTGGGTATTCTTTGCAAAGTGAAGCTTTACCTCATTTACTAGGCTCTGAAGCAACTGCACTAGCAGTGTACAGTATATTTGCCTTTAGTAAATCAACCCCAATCTGCTTTGCAGCAGCAACAATTGTTTTAAACCCATGTGATCTTACCAGATACAATTCAAATGGCTCTATAATGAACATACTCACTGTAACATATTCCATTCATAATCACATTCAATAAATTGCCTCCTAAACTTCCTATAATGATCTGCCAAAGATACTGTGATCACTGCTTTACATTTGAATGGGCTGCTAAATGCACCAAAAAAGGTGCATGCAGCAGTTTTGGCAGTGCATGGCACAGGATGTTATTGCGTTGCTGCATGTTGTGCTGCATTGCAAATGTGTTGGGATGCCATTGATGACATTAGCTTTAGTTACTGTGCATTGCATTAAAGTGTGTGCTGCCTCAGCGCGATAGTGTGAACAAGCCCTAACATAGAGGAAGCTGGTGCAGGCAGGGACATATTCTTAAACAGCACTTGACATGAACTCCATATCTTGGGTCTCCATAAAACAGCTCATATGAACATATAAAGTCTGTACTGTTAATTTTCCTCCGTTAGCATCCTGTATTACCAGTCACTTCGAAATATTAACGAGTTCTGATTCTTATTGGTGGTTGCAAGAAACCTAATAATGACTTTTTTAATGTTAGGCAGTATTAGCCACCTGGATGGCTGCGGTAGTGGGGATCAGGTCCAAGCTCAACTGTTACACGAAAAGACACAAATGTTGCATAGAAGTTTCCCATACCTATAGCTCTGCATCTACTTAACACTTTGTCATGATGGTCTTACAAAGGTAACGTTTGCTTATACATTTTTTTTTGATCAAACATTTGAAGGAAACCTCTGCTGAGAGAAATAGGTGTGCTGCCATTGCTGAACTTCTTTTGGAAAGTCCCAGAAAGGGTTCATTGGATTTATTGGGTTAGCAGACCTACAGGCTTGTATTGTACAGAGGAGCAGTAAGCGCTTTTTGTGTAACACTAAAGAGGATGAAGAAATAAGTGCTATAATTACAAGCTATTAACACAACTTTTTTTGCATTTTTTATTTATAAATTTTCCAATGTACAGTGAAGGAAATAAGTATTTGATCCTCTGCTGATTTTGAATGTTTGCCCACTCACAAAGAAATGATCAGTCTAAAAATCGAATGGTAGGTGTATTGTAACACAGACAGAATAGCAACAAAAATTTCAAAAGAAATGCATGTCTAACAAATTATGCACTGATATGTATGTTCATCAAGGAAATAAGTATTTGATCTCCTATCATCAGCAGGATTTCTGGTTACCAGGTGTCTTTCATACAGGTAACAAGCTGAGATTAAAAGGAGTCTCCTAAAGGGAGCGCTGTTAATCTCATTTTGTTACCTGTATAAAAGACGCCTGTCCACAGGAGCAATCAAACAATCAGATTCCAAACTCTCCACCATAGCAAAGACCAAAGAGCTGTCCACGGATGTCAGGGACAAGATTGTAGACCTACACAAGGCTGGACTGGGCTGCAAAACTATCGCCAAGCAGCTTGGTAAGAAGGCGACAGCAGTTGGTGCAATCATTCGCAAATGGAAGAAACACAAAACAACTGTCAGTCTCCCTAGGTCTGGTGCACCATGCAAGATCTCACCTCTAAGAGTGTCAATGATCATGAGTACAGTGAGGATTCATCCCTGAACTACACATGAGGATCCTGTCAATGATCTCCAGGCAGCTGGGACCACAGTCACCAAGAAAACAATTGGTAACACACTACGCCGACAAGGATTGAAATCCTACAGTGCCCACAAGGTCCCTCTGCTCCAAAAAGCACATGTCCAGGCCCTTCTGAAGTTTTTCACTGAACATCTGAATGATGCAGGGGAGGACTGGTTGAAAGTGTTGTGGTCAGATGATACCAAAATCGAGCTCTTTGGCATCAACTCAACTCGCCCTGTTTAGAGGAGGAGGAAGAATGCTTCCTATGACCCCAAGAACACCATCCCAACTGTCAAACACAGTGGTGGAAATATTCTGCTTTGGGGGTGTTTTTCTGCTAAGGGAACAAGACAACTGCACCGCATCAAAGGGACGATGGACGGGGCAATGTACCATCAAATCTTGGGTGAAAACCTTCTTCCCTCAGCGAGGGCATTGAAAATGGGTCGTGGATGGGTGTTCCAGCATGACAATGACCCAAAACACACGGCCAAAGCAACACAGGAGTGGCTCAAGAAGAAGCACATTAAAAAGGTCCTGGAGTGGCCTAGCCAGTCCCCAGGCCTTAATCAGAGTTGCCAAACGTCAGCCACCAAACCTTAAGAACTTGGACAAGATCCGCCATGAGGAGTGGGCAAAAATCCCTCCTGAGATGTGTGCAAACCTGGTGGCCAACTACAGGAAACATCTGACCTCTGACCGCCAACAAGGGATTTGCAACCAAGCACTAAGTCATGTTTTGTGAAGGGGATCAAATACTTATTTCCCTCATGAACATGCAAATCAGTGCATCATTTGTTAGACATGCATCTCTTTTCAATTTTTTGTTGCTATTCTCTCAGCGTTACAATACACCTACCATTCGATTTTTAGACTGATCATTTCTTTGTGAGTGGGCAAACATTCAAAATCAGCAGGGGATCAAATACTTATTTCCTTCACTGTATAATAAAATATACTGGATGAAGAAAAAGATATCGAAGAACACAAATTTAAAAAAAAAAAAAAAATTTAGACACATTCGATTATTTTCATTAAGATGATCGCTTTTTTAAAAAAGGAGAGCTACAAAAATAAAAAAAAACAGACAAAAAAACAAACACACACACACACTAAAAGACACTAAATACACTCTTTACTAAGATAAAATCCAGAATAAGCAATTATTATCTTAATAAATGAGGCATGTGCAAATTTGTATACTTGAATCTTATTGTGCTTTGTGTATCTGTGCAGTAACCTACTGTGAAACAGACTCTGTGCAGAAGCCTCTAGTAATAAAGACCATCACTGATGCCCCCTCCCCCTTGGTCAAGGTGACTCATCTTGTATCTGCCCCTCCTGTAGTTTTCTGAAAGAAGCATGTAGTAGATGGAGCTGCTGGGTCCTTCTCATAGCTCTATTGCCTGCACAGGCTGTGTGGAGCACAATGATGATGTCACCGATACTTTTACAAGGTGATAACTGAGTTTGCAACAGCATTTAGTGACCACAAAATGTATTTAAAACCTCACTAAATCGGTTGAGGGAGCTATGTTTGTCACTAGGCTGCTATCTTGATTTTGACTACTAACTCCTCTTCACTCCTCATCTCCATTACATAGGGAGGCCCCCAGCTTTTAAATATGTAGGTACTTAGGTCTTGCACTTTAAGATAGGGTTTCAAGTCTGTAAAAAATGGACAGGCATAAAATACAAAATTGGAAGCATGGTAATAAAAGGGTAAAACAGGAACATTAACTGTTAAAGTTTCCTATTCCTCATTTCGGTCATCAGCCACCACACCAAAATGTATATCCTTTAGCATTGCAGTAACTGCATGTGACTGCTCAGAGCCATTAAAAAAACCTTTAGAATGTGCATTGAGAGTTCTGCTGCGTCTAGCAAAGTTCCCAGAAACGCAAGAGTCTGGCTTTACACCAAGAAAAGAATAAAGCACATTGTAAATATTAATGTCTTCCTATAATGAAGCCATGTAAAAACGTCAATACAGAAGAAAATAGACAGTAAAACACACAGTAATGTTTAAGCATGTTGATTAATTGTGCAATCTGCATTTTGTAAAATGTAATGTTCTGCAATACGCAGTACTAAAACGTCAGCAACCCCTTTCTCTCTTCAGTCGATGGAACACCTTAAATATTATTTATCTATTACAGGTACTTTTATAGCATTGTTAATTTACGCAGTGCTTTACATATATATTGTACATTCACATCAGTCCCTTTCCCTCAAGGGGCTTACAATCTAAGGTCCCTAACTTACATTCATACATACACATGCTAGGGACAATTTAGGCAGGACTAAATTTGCCTACTAGCATGTCTTTGGAGTGTGTGGGAGGAACCCGGGAGTACCAGGAGTAAACTCACACAGGCACAGGGAGAACATGCAAACTCCAGGCAGGTGGTGCCGTGGTTGGGATTGAAACCAACGACCCTAGTACTGCCAGGCGGAAGTGCTAACCATTTAGCCACTGTGCTGCCCCAGTATTTGGGAATCAAAATGGACAGGTGTACACAATTACCTTGCCTCAAGGCTTACTCACTCCTTCACCTACTGAAGGCAAAATGTTCCCCCTGATTGATATTGAAGTTGATGGGGTGGGTCAACCTGATAAAAAGAATATTTATCCCCAAATTCAACTAGCTCTTCAAACAGTGCCCTGTTTGAATTCCCAGGAGGGTCTTTTAGGAAATTAACAAATATGTTTCTGCCTTTATTTGGGCCAGGGTCCAACAAGAATGGCAATGACTACCCTACACTTGCCCATACAGAAAGGTAGCATACAGCTCTAAGACTTAGAACTTTACTAGATGTTAAGATGGTGGTTTGCGCAACTAAAATACAATATGGGCATTCACCTGGAGGCCACTCTTATGTGTTCATTCCCAGAACTTGGCATGTTAGTTTTAAGAGGCCCAAAGGCACATTCCAAACTACCAGAAACTGCCCTTCAGATATGGACCTCAGCTATAGGCAGTGTTCTTAAGCAAAATTATTTGTTCCAATTACAGCTATTATAGAACAATCCTGCTCTGCCCTGCTACTGTTCCATTCCTCACCTGAATTATGGGCACACCACAGTATAAAGACACATCAGGATTTTATGCCCAATAGAGACATTCCAACTTTTCAGAATCTCAAAACCAAATATGACCTACCTAACTGGGTGCTGTTCCAGTAACTCCAAATGCACCATGCACCTCATTCCCACTTCTGGGACACAACTCTTAATGAAGAGGGATCTCAGAAAACCCTGCTTTTTCCTTTAAGCCTGCCTTCTTTACATCAATGTGCTCAAAATTGGTTGTATATTAGGGCAGTAGATGAAGAGGATTGGAGGATGGTCTTAGGGATTGCTCTAAACACATGATATATTTTAGCTATTTTCCAAGTTAATTCAGACAAGGTTTTTGCATAGGAAATATTATACGCCACAGCGTTTTCTAAGATCTACCCCCAAATTTCCCCCACGTGCTCTAGATGCAATACAAAAAGTGGCACTTTTGTACATATGTTTCTACGTATGTCCCTGCAAATACAAAAACGTATTGGTTAAGGGTGTTTTAGCAAACAAGACTTGAATGCAACTTGTGATCTAGATACTCTGACACTATTAGGTTACTAATATTACTTAGCTCAACAAAATTACTAGCATACTAAATCAGCAGCATTATGCAAGATGAGATATCCTGCTTCACTGGAAATTCCAGACAACATCTCAGCTGTCCTCATGGGAATCCAATGTCATATCAGTTTTTATATTTGTCAAAGCTAACCTATGTGACTAGAAACTATCCTAGAAATTATGATAGAATTCAGATGCCAAGGAGAGGTCAACTGACCACCCCATCCCTCTCTCCTGGCATAACTCATTATATAGAACCTAAGGCTAACATATGTATTACCAAAAAGTCTGTAGATCATTGTACAAGTGACCACACTGGAAGCCATCTTATTTAATTTTTTTTTTTTATTGTTCTTTGACAAACTAATAAAAAGTTTAACCCCCCAAAAAATTATTAATAAAAAGATAACCATTACCTTCAACTCTAAACCTTTCTTCAAAACATCTGCGATTAAGGTTTAACTCGGGTTCTTCCGTGTAGCTGTACAATTCTGTGAGAGACACAAGAGATTGTAAGCAATTAAAAGCTAACTCCAGCCAAAACCTATTTTTTCTAGTTTTGGATCTAGTGGGGAAGAATTAGGGTCATGTCACGCACATAATTCCACAGTTGGAGACACTTTGCCAGTGCCCAAATCTTTAACAAAGGAGTAGCGGAATGACGTGCCGCTGGCTTAGACAACAAGGAATCATTTCTGTTGCTGGTGAGCTGTTTTTGGCGACAGAATTGCCTGGGTGGTGACATGGTCAACAGAACCTTCGTAAGACTAACGGTATCCCCTGTGGGGAGTGTCCTTTCTTCACTTTCTGTCCACTCGACAGGACAGGAATTAAAGAAAGGTCTCTATAAATTAAAACACATGCAAGAGAAAAAAAAATAAATAAAATGTGGAGTGAGTAGGGCTTAGACCTTAGGTTGGTAATGCTTTGTTTTTATTGCATCCTGACCCACCGACACATGATAAAGTTGATTAACCAAAGAACAGAGGCTGATTACCTTGCAAGCTGAGCATGAACACTGCTAAGTGAATGATACCACAAAAGCTAAAGTTGTGTTTACCTAGAAAACCCAATCTTGAGCTACAAAAAAAAAAATATGTTTAATGTATTTCCTTTTGTTTATGACTGCATATTCAAAGTAAACACAGCTTTGCCTTATTCAGAAACATCGATTTTAAAAAGTGAAGATTCACTTCGCTAGGTGGACAACCTCTGCTCCTTTAGAAAAGCAACCCAGCGTGTCAGGTTGTGAAAGGTAGAGAGGGAGTGGAGGGAAACCTCAACAACGGAAACAATAGAGTCAAAGACACCAACATAAATCAGAATTGGAAAAAAAACAAAAACAAAAAAACCAAACCTTTGCATGAAACTGGATTATATTCGTGAATAGGGTAAAATGGTGCTTAGGAACTTTCACACAGGCGTTCCATATGTCCGTTTTTCATCTGTCTGTTTACAGATGAAAAACCGGACACCCATGTATTTCTATGGACTAGCGGATGTAAACGGTGGATCAGCTGTTTACATCTGTTAATGTCTACATCCAATAACATCTGTTTTTTTGAACAGACGAAAACCCTATTTTTCTTCTGTTAAAAAAAACAGAATGGACAAAAAATAGCTCTAAACAGACAGAAAAAAAGGGATGTAAACAAACAAAAAACAGACGAAAGTGGATGTAAACGGATGATCTGTTTACATCTGTTATTGTCCGCATCCATTGACATCCGCTTTTTTGAATGGAAGAGAACCCTATTTTTCTTCCGTTAAAAAAAACAAAATGGGCAAAAAAATGGCTATAAATGGACATAAAATGGACCAAAAAAAAGGGATGTAAACAGACAGAAAAACAGATGTAGACAGACGTAAACAGATGTAGACAGACGTAAACAGATGTAGACAGACGTAAACAGATGTAGACAGAAAAACAGATGTAGACAGACGTAAACAGATGTAGACAGACGTAAACAGATGTAGACAGACGTAAACAGATGTAGACAGACGTAAACAGATGTAGACAGACGTAAACAGATGTAGACAGACGTAAACAGATGTAGACAGACGTAAACAGATGTAGACAGACGTAAACAGATGACAGACGTAAACAGATGTAGACAGACGTAAACAGATGTAGACAGACGTAAACAGATGTAGACAGACGTAAACAGATGTAGACAGACGTAAACAGATGTAGACAGACGTAGACAGACGTAGACAGATGTAGACAGACGTAAACAGACGTAAACAGACGTAGACAGACGTAGACAGACGTAGACAGACGTAGACAGATGTAGACAGACGTAAACAGATGTAGACAGACGTAAACAGATGTAGACAGACGTAAACAGATGTAGACAGACGTAAACAGATGTAGACAGACGTAAACAGATGTAGACAGATGAAAACAGATGTAGACAGACGAAAACAGATGTAGACAGACGTAAACAGATGTAGACAGACGTAAACAGATGTAGACAGACGTAAACAGATGTAGACAGACGTAAACAGATGTAGACAGACGTAAACAGATGTAGACAGACGTAAACAGATGTAGACAGACGTAAACAGATGTAGACAGACGTAAACAGATGTAGACAGACGTAGACAGACGTAGACAGACGTAGACAGATGTAAACAGATGTAAACAGACGTAAACAGATGTAAACAGACAAAAACACGACGTGAACTGATTGATAAAAAGAAACCACGTAAAAAGAAACAAAGTGAACTGATAAAAAGAAAAAGTGAACGGATCCATTTTTTCTTGGAAAAAACGCGACTGAACTGATGAAAAGAAAAGGAACGCCCGCGTGAAAGTGGCCAGACGGCGACATGATACAGAGACAGAAACAATGTTACCACTGGTTTTATGTACATGCCTCACCTGCTAACTCTGCAGATAACTGGTCTGAATCATTGTATTCAAACTCCAGAGTGGGCCCATCTACCAGGATCTGAAGATACAGGAAATCAATTAGCAAAGGAAAGGCAACAGGACAGGAAAATAACATGAGGACATTATGGAAGATCAGAGACAGCTGGATGAAGATGACATGTCCCCCCCCCCACCCAACAACACACACTACATTCTCACTTCATGACCCATCCCAAAAGCATTTATAATATATTGACACATACAGAACATTAGCAGAAATAGACATTAAAACAAGAAGGATTTTTGAAAGAAAGAGAGGAGTATGCTAGTTTTGGCACATTTGTGCGTGTATTGTTTGTAAGTGGAATAGTTGTGGAGGTCAGCATTATGTTTGTAGACCTCTAATAACCCCATTTCCTGAAGTGGCAGGGGTGTCAGCTGAGGGCTTGGAACAGACAGAAGTGCACAGGCTAAAAATAAGTTCTTTCAAGAGGCTTCAGCTGACTGAACTTCCCTGTGTAAAGCTGTGACTGCTGAGGTGCATAAATTGTATATGAACCTTAGAGAGGAGAAGAAAGCTCCTTTTTAGTCCCCTGTTGCATACTGCTTTTACCACGGAGTCACCCTCGAGATGTCTGGATAACATTCTCACACCCTGTCTGACGTCATACTGCTAGAATGGCATTTTATCTTGGCCTACCACTAGATTAGTATATGGCTTGTACACACACTGGGGGCCTATCACTAGAAGGTCTGGCCTATGTTGGGCCGGAGATGGATCGGTCTAAGGCAGGGGTCTGCAACCTTTAAGACATAAAGAGCCACTTGGACCCGTTTCCGAGAGGGAAAAAAAGACTGGGAGCCGCAAAACCATTGCAACATTTAAAACAAATCCGACACTGCATATATTGCAAAAAGCGCTCTGGTCATGAAGGGGGTTTAAGGGCCCAGTAAGCAAAGGGTTAATCAGGGCCACAGTGTATCGTCATAATCACAATCATAGCCTTAGGTCAGTGGTGGGCAACCTTTTCAACTGAGCCAAATCTCGCCAAAACCACGATTAAAATTTATTTTGAGAGCCACATTTTTTGAAAAACATCCCCCATATAGTAATTCATCCCCATATAGTAATTCATCCCCCCTATAGTAATTCATCCCCCCTATAGTAATTCATCACCCATATAGTAATTCATCCCCCCTATAGTAATTCATCCCCCATATAGTAATTCATCCCCCCTATAGTAATTATCCCCCTATAGTAATTCATCCCCCCTATAGTAATTCATCCCCCCTATAGTAATTCATCCCCCCTATAGTAATTCATTCCCATATTGTGTCAATTCACTTACCTGTACTCCGCACGTTCCTCTCGCCGTGTTCCCGCGCAGTTCTGGTCTTCAGGGCGGACTGTGAGAGGAGAGGAGTTCGTCACGCTGCCCCGCCTACATCCTGAAAGCCAATGTTTGCCACGCTCCGCGGGCCGGATTATAAGGTCCGCCGGGCCGTAGTTTGCCCATTGCTAGGCTAGCTGCAGAGTCCTGACTTTTGGGGCGGCCGCCCGAGAGGAGGGAGGGGAGCGGGACGCCCGGCACACAGAAGAGCTGCATTAACCTCCCTGGCGGTATGATTCCTTCCGATTTTTTGTGCTGAAAGCGGTAACATTTTTTCGCATGGAAATAGTTTTTTATTGTAGGCTGTAATTTTTAGGAAAATTTCCCCACAAATCATTATCACTCAATTCTGCAAGTGGTCCTGATTTACTATCGCTGTTCTCTAGCCGGTCTAAAACCGCTTTTGACCTAAAGGGACGCTTTTTGGACGCCATGGACTTTTCTAAGTTTCCAGGCAGAAAGAACAGACAAAATGCAGGCAGGGCACAGGACAAAGCACTAGGGACAATATGTATGTGAAATGGGATGAAACAGCAATGTTTTACTATTGAAAAAAAAAAAAAAAAAAAGACATTTTTAAAATTTTTTAAATTTCCCGCCGCCGGCGGCGCCCGTACGTCCCGACGTCACGGGGACCGGAACACAGAAGCCGGATGCCGGCATCGGCCGGAGGAGATGGCCGGGGACGCTGCAGGGGACACATCGCGGGAACGAAGGACAAGGTAAGTGCTGCAGGGACCCCCAGAGCAGCGCCGCATGGTAAGCCTGAGTGTAGCTCGTGGTATAGAAATTCTACCACGAGCTACACTCGGGAAAACCGCCAGGGAGGTTAAAAGAGCCGCGGCTTGCCGACCACTGAGCTACGGCAACCCTATTGCCTGTCACCTGGTGGGCAGTGTGCTCCGGAGCCGCAGCAAAGGTGAAAAAGAGCCGCATGCGGCTCTGGAGCCGCGGGTTGCCGACACCCGGTCTAAGGCCTAGTGCACACTACTACCATGCACCTTATGGGACCCACCAACAAAATCTGGACTGAGCTGCACGATAACGCCTTCACGTCTAAGAGTAAAACAAATCTTAATGCCTAAGCACAATTTTGCAGCTTTGACACGTGTTCGCAAAACCATACATATCATCACAACTACTTTGTGCATTCAGGTGGATTACACCTTGTTTTTTTCAGGACAAATTGGGCTTTCATTTGGTGGTAAATGATAATGGATAGCTCCTGATTTAGTTTTTTTTTAAATTACCAAATGAAAACTGGCACAAAATAGTAAAAAATTTAGCTGTATATTTCTTGCTACTACCATAACCTACCACCAAAGAACAAAAAAATTTTCCTGCTCCTGGCAATCGCAATGATACCACACATGTGTATGTTAGTTGTTGTTTATACCCATAGCACAGCCCAGAAACCATAGTGTGCAATTTTATTTTAGTTTTTTCATTCTGCCACTAAATGACACTAATAATTAAAAAAAAAAAAAAAAGCAAAGAAAACCCGACCCCCCAAAAAAAAACAACCTGACCCTGACCTTTGACACTGATCTTGACCAAAGCACAAACCCTGACACAGATCTAAATAATTTTTTTAAATTTATTTTTTTATTTATTTATTTTTATACACTTGTTTCTAAATAGAGATATAATATATCTATCTCCTCCATTCAGAGAGAGAAAAAAAAAAGGGTGGGCTTCACAGTGACTGTTCAAGGGGTTAAGCAGTGACACATTTCTTAGGTATGCCATGAGTAACATGGATTTCCGTCTTTGAAGATATTCCATAATTTCTCATCGGAGATCGTCCCCTTCCATCCAAGAAGACATGGATCATATCAGCTTTAAAAGAATCCATGCATATCACATCTATGAGAACCCCAGATATATAATCACATCTATGAGGACCCCAAAATATACTAGGCAAGTAGTAGCCTGGGAGAAACATTGATTACATGTGCTAGACATCTTGCTCCAATCACTATAGTTTTCCCTTACATAAGTGAAGTCAGTAGTAGAGGTGTATTTACCGGAAACATTTGTTTTGTTTCGGATTGGTTTGTGAAAGTGGTTCTAAAGACTCAAGGTTTTTTGACTTCATGCATTCTATGCATGAAGGGTAAAAAAAAAAAAAAAAAAAAAAAAAAAAAACTGAAAAAAAATCCTGTGTGCAGTGGCCCCCCCATTGGATCCCACTGCTGTCAATCATAGCCAGTGAGGAGAGGGTGGGCGGGGCTCAGCCACGGATCAACGTGTCTTATGGATGCATAGAGCAGCAGCTCAGGGACGAGCATGCAGAGGTGCCCCTAGTGTGGGCGGCTTTCCCTCAGGGCACTGCTTCAAGAGGAGGAGCCAGAAGCACCAGAGAGGACCCCAAAAGAGGATCAAGGCTGCTCTGTGCAAAATCACTGCAAAAGTATGTACAGGTCAGAATAGAAATGTTTGTTATTTTAGTGTCACTTTAAGTTAATAATTTCATCATGTTCCTTATGTTAAAATAATTTGTTTTCAGAACTTGTTTCGTATATTCATTCATTTCAAATGGATTCAAAATTCGAATTACAGAAGACAACTATATTCGTTCTATTTCTATTTTTTTTTTATATTCTAGTCTTTTATCTTCTGTTCTATTGTATTGTCTTCTGTTATATTTTATTCCTTTATTTTCGATTCTATGCTATTCTTTTCTATTCTGTTTTTTGTTCTTTTCTATTCAGCAGCCTAAGCATCTTATTTCACTTTTATACCTTACTGTATTTATTGCAATATGTTTCCATTTTGTATTCAAATTCATTTTCAAATCTGCATAAATAATTTTGTTATAATTTATTTCGGATTAAAAATAATTACCATCGCAACTGCAAAATTCAGATACATCACATGCACATGTCTAGTCAGTAGCATCTGGCTTTGTGGCTCATGTCCTCTGCATCGCTTTACATGGAAAGGAAAGGGAAACTGAAAACAGCCATGGGTGGCCTTAGGTCTTTGTCTGGCAGTACAACCATATACAGAGATCCAATAAGTGCTCCCCTTTCTTCACAAAAATAGCAAAATACCATTAGAATGTATGCATCAAAAAGCAATGTGTTATAGTTTGTAAAGAGGGTTAAAATGTGCTCAGGTGTTGCAACTGGAACAGGTTTTCCTGAAATGGCTTCACATGGGCCCACTAGTGTATTAATGTGGATCTGACTGACAGGGGCTGTAGACAGAACTTGTCTTCCCTTCAAATCAAGATCAAAAACGGGAAAAAAAAAAATGGAAATCTGATAACTGCAAGGAGGAATACTTATAATGATAGAGTTCAGTATATAAATTACTTTTTTTTCCCCCCCAATAAAAGACACAGCACAGGAATTGGGACTTCTCCCATCCTATGGAATTCCCTACCCCAATCTGTCCGACTATCTCCTACTCTGTCCACGTTTAGGTGATCCCTGAAAACCCATCTCTTCAGAGGAGATTATCCTGCTCCCACCTAACAACTGTATTTCCACTTTCTCCATCAGCTCATCCCCCACACTGATACCTTTTGTATCACTTGACCCTCTCTTTTAGATTGTAAGCTCTAATGACCAGGGCCCTGTGATTCCTCCTTAATTGAATCATATTGTAACTGTACTGTCTGCCCTCATGTTGTAAAGTGCTGCACAAACTGTTGGCACTAAGTAAACTCTGAACAATAATA